AACGCATACCGTGATGGTTGAGTTGCAATTTGTAGTAGTTTGATTCGATAGATGAAGACGCGTTGGTTACAAATAATTATCCATTGTTGGAGGGGGTACGGTGGATATGTGTGGTACATTACAGTTGGCCAACGATGGACAGTCGAGTAATGAAAAGTTAAAAGAAGGATATGAACAAAATTAGGTCCTTCAAGGTGGTTGTAGGAGTGAATGCAGAAACTATGTAAGTATTTACAGGACGATGTACGTATTTATATATGGATGTATGTATTGGTGTAGTGAACATGACTGAGTGTGTAAAAACAGAAAAAAATCAAGGTGAAGACTAGATGTCTTGTTCTCTAGGGTCGTTTCTAAATAGGATTTCGTTATTTATTGGACTACTAGCGAACTTAAAGAAGAGGTGAAGAAAGGTGCTCAAATCTACAAATGTTGCTCTTATTCAATACTTCTCTTTAGGCCTTTGGGTTCTTTTTTATTTTTTTGTTCGGGATTAGAGATAATCAATGCTAGTTATGTGTATTTAAATTGTAAATTGGATTTTGTACAGCTACAAATTAAAAAGAAATATGTGAAGGATTGGAAATGAAAGAACTCTATAGACAGAGGCTGGATCGGAAGAAGAATAAACATATCTAAGTGAGAAGGTGAGATAGAAAGCTAGTATGTTGATACACAAGATTCATTTTGTAGTCTTGCGAAGGGCTCAGAGAGACTGGGGATTATGGGAAGCAGAATTGAAAGACCGCGGATGTACGCGAAAGCCAAGGATTTTGAGAAGTTTGTTTCGTTTTGGTTTCAAAGCATTTAATGTGAATAAGAAGGTTTGGTGTCTAACCTGAAGTTTGTTGAGTAACTAGGAGCTCTAAACGAAATATTGCTAATATTCTAAGTGAAATAGTATGTAGAATCTACTCATAAATAAATTGAACAAAAAGAAATTATAATATAGTTTGTTTTTGTTTTGGAAGGCACAGTTTCAATGAGACTAAGAGAGAGGGGGAGCAGTATAGACACAGAAGGATAGAGAGAGAGAGAGGTAGTATGATATAAGGACGTAGTGGGTCCTATGTTATTTGTTTTCAGGGGTTGTGAGGGGAATGGCAGAAGTTACTAGTAACTAAAGTAGTAGTTGTAGTAGTAGCAGTATTTGGTAGTTGATAGAGAAAGAGAGAGAGTATTATGTGGGAGTTTCCATTTGAGTTTTGCGGAGAAGAAGGAGGAGAAGGAGTTTGATGTTAAAGAAATAAAATATTACCCATGACTCTGGCGGATAACGAGGAAATGGAGCTATTTCTTTGGTTGCTACATTACTAGGCAACTCAAGTCTTCCACCTAATTTTCGTAGCTTTCTTCTTCTCGCCACCCGAGATTTCGATCTTAGCATCAATGCAGCCTGCATCTTTATTCGTTGAGTTTATGCGCAACAAATATATTTTACTATAGATGAATGATTAACGGCGAAATGCGTTACTGTATATATTTATAGATATATATCACGTTGTGTTATAGGACCGGGCCAATTTTTACACATTCAACCGTAGAGGTCCGTTGTCTTGCTGCAATAGCGTATCTTCGCTTGAGCGCAATGAAGAACAAAAATTGAGTTCTTCAGGAGCCCTATATGTAAAACTAAAGTCGTACACATTTGGTTTAATACATTAATAAAACATGTCTACATGGTAAAAATTCATTTAAAGTAGTTCTTACAGAATCTTCTGAACCTGAAAATACCCAATGCTACCGGACGCCGGTCACCCGCTGACGCTGACGTTCACGCTGATGCCTTGGGCCGAACGGCTACGTGCGCCGGTTGTTGGTTTTCCAACGGTGATGCTTTTGTTTGCGTTGTCCTTTGCGTCGTCGTCTTCTTCGCCGGCGCAGCCACCAGTTAAATTGTACTTGTGCGCCCGTACACAGAAGACGATACATAAACTTAATATTTTGTCTAGATTTGCGCCCTCGTGTGTAGTGTGGACTTAACTCTCCGACCATATAGCTTAGCAAGTGTATGTCCTCGACTTGTATTGTTCTCGCACTGGCGTTGTTGTGTCACAGCAATGTCGATCGTTGTGGATCTTCTGCAACGTGGGCGTCACTTTCATTTTGCAGATATGTGGAAATATTATAATTCTGAATCAGGCGAACGACAAATATTGCTGTAAGGCTTCATCTTTGCTGTTATTTTTCGCTGGTAGTTAAGATGCATTTAGCACAGTTAGCGATGTGAAACTGAGAAGTCTACGGAACGTTATTGTTCGAGCGCGTTATCCAAAGCAAACACTACTATTCCGCCTCCGATACAATATATATATGTATATAAATATACGTATATGGAAAGAGTTTAGTGGTTCATTTGGGGGTGTTGTTTCGTTCGGTTGTTCGTTCGTACGTTTGTGATTTGTTTTCTTACAGTCTGTGCTGTATGGTGTTCGGGTGCTGTCCAGCGCTTATTTTGGCTATAGATCTGTAGTACACCCCTTCGTGCAATTCGGATCCTATAGCAAACAAATAAATAGTGTTCATATATTCAGTTCGGATTTCTGATTTCTGTTTTTTTTTTATTGTTCAAGAGTATGTATGCTGTTGTGTATTTCATAAGTACCAATGATAACATTACACAAGATGTTGTATTTTTCTTCTCTCCCTGCAGCAGACAACATCGCCTTAAATCAGTCAATGTATTATTTTAGACTTATTAGAAAGATGCATCCGCATCTCTATTGTTTTCAAAAACAAACACATTAGAATTCAGGATTGTACGTACGACCATGGCAGAATTATAAATCGGTGGTGTAATGTGTATTTGAAATAGATTAGGAGGTGTGTTAAGTTCGGTCATCATTTTTTTTTATACTGTACAAAAACGATTTTTAAGGTTTCCATTTAATGGTCCACTTGAAGACTATAAAAAGTCAATTTAAAATAAAGTACAAAGATTTTATGAGGTATTGTTGTAACTTATTTAAATATCTTATTCATCGATGTTTTTACTTCAACGTAATCAACTTTAATACATTATTTTTTAGCATTCCTTTAGTGGGGAAAATGACACTTTATATCAGAGTGCAAGAACAACAGGGTTATGTTACAGATTCTGGCCAGGAGTTTGTTCCATCTTCTGGAACAAAATACCTTAACATCCATCAAAAAATGGCAATCTCAAAAAAATATGAACAAAGAAACGTCATAATTGAGTTTATATCTAGCATCTCTACGACGAAGTAAACAAATCATATTTTCCACACTTTTCGCGTTGTGGAAAAATATAGACAAGTAATATTTCTATGAACGCTTCTAAACATCGCAAATATAAACTTTAGAGGAGCCAAACTACTTCTGGTATGTCACCAAAAATGAAGATAGTTTTTATTCACACGAGGTTGAATTGTGAATATAAATATGCAAAACTAAATAATTATATATTTTTTATTTTCATTTCAGTTGGGTAGGCAAAGAAAAGGTTAACTGTTTTCATCATGAGGATCAGTATAGACCTTTCCCTAAGGTACACCACTAGGATACAAGCTATAAAAAAAAAACATTATCTAAAAATATGCCACAAAATGTGTCTGGTGAACTCTTTCAGACCTGTTTAGACTTTTTAGTATTTCTATCATTAGTGTGTCACAAATTCATTCACATTGCATACAAACATACACGAATTGACGCTTGTGTGTATGTATGTATGTATGTACGTGGTATCACAGTTTGGATTATATGAAATTCCAGCTATTTACTTGGTGCAGACATGCAATTATTGTCATCGATTTCCCCTATATTTAACTATGGAATGTGCATGCTTCCGGCAACACACTTATCCATACTTATATACGTATATGTTTGTATATATATATATATACACACACACACACACTTAGTTAGACTAATTAAAAGCAACATCAAGAAAAACGAAACGACAAAGGACACGAAACATCGCAAAAACGAAAAAGTAAACAAATAAACAAAGCCCAGCAAAGAGTGACAGGATGGGGGTAGCGATAGAAGCTCTGGTGGTCGCCGCTAGCATTGACATTGTGACCGTAATAAAAACAGTGGACCACCCAATCCTGCTCCAACCCAAACACCACTTGGCCACCCTTGTGCCGCACACAAAGCAACTATTTCAGCCATCCCAAACACGAATCGTCGAATTTACTTTTATTACTGTTGTTAGTATATCAAGGCCCAAAGAGGAGCTATCATCGTCTTAACACTGAAAGGGCGGTGGGGTCAGGGGTTATGGGGATCACATAGAGCATAGTTAAAGTAACACAGAAAAGAATGGCATGCAAGAAACGAGAAATGGCATTATGACACAACAAACATGCAACACTGAGAAATAAGAAAATACTTTGAAACATAAATGGGAGAAATTGGTAGACTAATGAATATGGCGAATTTGGTGTCGGCGTCGCAGTCGGTGGGTCGGTCGGTCGGTCGGTCGTCGGTCGTCGGTCGGTAGGAAGGTATTGTCGACGGAAGTGAAAGCGTTTGATATCGTGAAAGATGACTTAGGAACACAACCTCAACCGCGGACACACACACACACACGCATTGCCATTCGTATCGCACGTCTATAGCTCAACTAATACACATGTATACAAGAGGTGTTTGTGTGTGTGTTCGTTTGTTCGTTCGTTCGTTCAAAGGTGTGTTCCTGGTTGTATGTCGAGACATTAGTCGATTTTTGTGTTCTATTCTCGTGTATGTGGTCGCACACTCACATACATGGGTATTAAAAAGAAATTATATTGGCACTTAAGAAATGAGAAAATAAAAAATAGGCAGATTCAAAACGGTTTACATAGCAAGAGAACATGTCATCGTGTGTAAACTTGTTTATGTGTATGTGTGTGTTTGCGTTTTTAAATGGATAGGATACAACATAGAGAGAACATGGTAGTAGGGGTGGTAGTGACAGTGGAAGTAGTAGTAGTAGTAGTAGCAGTATGTAGGGCCGGCCTTGGTTCGCTCTGTTGGCTGGTGGTGGTAATTACCTCAATGTGTTCACAGACGCAAATACCTTCCTCACAGTAGGCGCAAATTTGTATTTTACGACCGACGGTGGTCGTTGGCAAGCCCTTAAACACGAGATGCGGATCGTCGGTAAGCAGGGGTTCGTAGTGTTGGTTCTGTTGGTTGAATTGAAGTTCCTTGAATTGTCTCCGAACCCCGGTGATGGCGGCTGGGGGATCGTATTCGAAGGCGTCGCTACGCCTCATACGGTAGACACTGCATTTGCGTTCTAGGGGTCCGGTGGGTGGATGCGTTTGGTCGTCGTCATCACACGAATCGGCGGCTGCGGTGAGCGGTTGTTTTTCTGCCACGGCATCGGGAAGTTCTTCGTGAGGCTTGGCCACGTGACCAGGCGACGCCATCGGCGTGGCCGGCGTCACAATAATACTGTCATGATAGGCCAAAGGTATACCTGCCTCCTGACATATCGCTGGTGGGAGAGCTGTCGCTTCATCCGGCTTGGCGGCGGCTACGCCCGATGGCGACGTCGGTGGTGTGGCTTCGACTTGTGAGACAAGTGGCAAAGTGGCAGTTGCCGATTTCGGCAGATGGGAATGGTGAAAGCTGGTTCCGCTACTGCCCGAATGACGATGTACAAGCTTCGGTGAAACGCGTCCGTGGTGATGATGTCCAGTGTATGGAACCATGTGCTGGTGCTCCTGATGGCTGTGACTGTGGGCGTGGTGGCTATGTCCATGTGCATGTGGGTGCGGGTGCATCCGCATATGCATAACCGATTGTGTATCGCCCTCATCGATTGGCAGTAAAAGCTTCGATTGCGCCGTATAACTTGCACTAAGTTTGCGCCCCTGTGCCTGAGGTGTTCGCAGGTAGTTGTTCGGTAGCTGATGAAATTGTCGAGAGTGACGCGTTGGCGTTGAAGCGCCATGTTCTCCGACCGACGAGCAAGGCGCCTTGGGAGGATGTAGTTTAGCTTGTAGCTGCTGCGATTTCTTTTGCTGGCGTTGTCTCTGTCGTGCCTGGCGTGATGCCAAACTGGCGCCGCCAGCAGCCGCATACATATCTCCCCAACAGTTCCGCTATTACCAGGATGTCACTCGGATATATTATTTCGCTATAGTACACAGGATAAGGAAAATAAACGATTGCAAGCATCGAATTGAAAAGTAAGCATGACTCCTGTGATGCTATCGAACACCCAAAAACATCCCTCCCAAAAATGTCTGCCCACCAAATGACGCTTAATCTACTCCGTATCTAATATCTTAACGCGAATATATTCCACCGAAGTTATGGACACCGAGAAACTATTGACTACCAATGCAAAGCATTTTAACTACTGTCTAATACGCATAATGAGAGAGATATAGTTATATAGATATGGTGATGCGTTCGATTCAATGGATCAACAAATATATCTAAAAGCGTATAGATGGGACTTGTTACGTAGAAATCTGGACAGATGAATCAGCTTGAGCTTCGTATCGAAGCAAACATTATTCCCGTATTTCGCGATGGCTACTACAGCAGATTCGGCGAACACTATGCGTCATTATGCGAATATGAACATATATACACAAATCGTATCGGTCGATGTCCTTTCTAATGAATTCTAGTCTACTCTAAGAAGATATCTACAGTTTCTCGATGTAATGAATAAACACTTGACGTTGTAACTTTGGCCAATACAATCTCAAATTGGAATATTAAAAAGGGTTTGAAGCGCATGTATCCACCAAGGGACTTGAACAAATTGATATAGTTCGTTCATCAATCTATCATCTATATATGTATCTATCTAGTTCGCATACACGTTTATATATGAATTATGTGCTTTGGGCCAGGGGCGTTGCCGATCTTATCGTTTTAATTACCTTAACGTACGCCGATGTCTGAGTCCGATATATTGCTTGACGTCTTTGCGTGCATCGAGACGACTGTTCTGCTACCGGATTTCGAAGCCTCTAATGTCACACAATTTATGGAGTTCGCATTCATTTAATTCGAAATGAGGTTCTAGGTATGTAGTAGGTTTTTTGCATATATATGTATTTTTTTGCGTTCATCGTTTAAGAAACAAGTGCAAAGTCTTACAAACTAATTTACTTCATCAGATAAGAAATACATACATACAGGCTGAAAAAAGATTTAATTCAGATACATGGCTATTGGTGAATAGTGGAACAATATTGCAAAGATTTGTAGCTAAAAAAGTTCCGGAACAAAGTTTGCACGAATTTTGAAAAAAAAGTAGCTATGGTCTACTTGAGGAATAATTTACAAATGCTTTAATTTGACGCATGCAAAGTGAGTGTCCTCCTGCTATATACTGAAATTGTAAGACGTATGTATGTGCATGTTTCCTGATGTCAGTTGCAATAGGTATTACAGTTAAAACCAAAGGTGTACAACTTCTAATACCCTCCACCATTTGTAGGGACTTGAAAAATGTCAACAAAAATTACGTTTAAATGATGAGCTACGGGGGCTATACGAAGACGCGGAAATACATAAGTAATTTTTTGTCATAGGTTGTAGTACCCATTAAGATCGTTCGAAAGATAGCACGTAAACCGCAAGATCGTCTTAGAATTTTACGTTGATTCAGAATATATATATATACTTTATAGGCTCTATCATAAATATTTTTTTGAGGAGTTACAAATGAAATGACAAAATTAATATACCCTGCATAGAATGGTGGTAAAAACAAAAGCAACATTGCGAATATCGTAACAGATCCATGTTGATGAGAAGAATGGCGTTGATTAGTAAAAAAACTTATAGTCTCCTTTATTAGGACCAGCCAAATGCCAACTAGGAACACTAAAGGTATAACACTGTGCAGCAAAAAAATAATTACAGGAAACATCCAGAACATTATGAAAATAGTGTGAAAAAAGAAGACACGCATATCGGCGTTTTGAATGTTTATATCGCAAAGTAACTAAAGAGAGGCGGAAAAGTTCTCGCTTTTCAACATTTTTTGGAATTTTCAGATTAAGATTCCTTGCGATCCGTGCATTTTAGGTACATAGGATCTTCGGTAATATTGCTGCTAACAATTCCCCTTCAACCGGACCGTAGCAAATCAAAATATTGTACAAAAATATTGGTCAAAACTTCTACTGTAGATCACATAATACGTCAAAAGACTAAATGCGGGAATTTATAAATATTAGAAATACCTTTTAGGATTAAAGTCGTACCTCAGAGAGTCTATGCAAAACTCTTCTACAGAGCATCAGTTTAGACGTATGACGTCAATGACACAAATATCTTCCAACAGATCTCCGAAAACGAAAAATATCTATATTTCCATTATAAATAAAGAGAATTTTGCAGCAATGTTGCCATAAAAACGAAAGTTATTATTGTTTTCCTTCTATGTTTAATAGTTATTAACAATTTTCATTTGTTTCCGGCACATTTTATTTGAGTTCTTATTATAAACTAACGTTACCGGCAAAAAATGTTCCATATAGGTGCACGTTTTTTACAGAGTTTATATAAAAACAAGTAAGCAAAGGCTGCAGTCGAGCGGGGCCGACCGTTGAATACCCGACAACACTATAATAAATGATACAGTTTATATAGGCGAGATACTCGAAAGAATTCCACAAGATATTGTGACAAATAATAAAAGAAAACCATCAGGATTCGTTCTCTAATTTTCTAATAATAGCAACTGAAACTAATTTGCTCATTTCCAATTTATTGGTAGATGTTGCACGTGAATGGTCTTCCTAGATCTGGAACCAATATTTCCCAAAGACCTATAATCTCTCAGAAGTGGCAAAAGATTAACACTTATTATTGGTTTTTGACTGAAACGCATCTATATGAGATACAGACATTTGACAATATTCTTCAACGAAATCAGCCTTAACGAAATAGTCAGAAGTGCGTCTTTCCTGTATTTGTGAATTCTCCAAAAAGTCACTGGAATGGATATTTTCGTATTTTGTCTACAAAAGTTGGCAAACTATTTCACACATTGATAATTTTTGGATGGCCATCCAAAACTATTTGGCTTTTGCAATGTCCGGTAACCTCCATCCAAATGCGCGTGAGGACCGGGCGATAATTACGACTTGCTGACAATTTTGCAGTTTTTTTGTCCATTTCAACCCCTAAATATATGGCGATTATCTCCAAAAAGAGTAGGCTTCTATTCTGACCCTCATCTTATCCCCATGCAAAATTTCATAAGGATCGGGCCATAAATGCGATCTGTATATGATATCCTGATATCCTAACTACTTAGTTTTGTTAGCTGTAGAAATATTACCAAATGTTTAATTCAAAATGAAAATATGCCAAAAATATGACAAAATTGAAAAAAATATGAGAAAATATTACAAAATCAATATTTTCATCATTAGAGAGATATTTTTATGCAATTTTTTTAGACGTTTTTTCTTTCCTGCCAAGAGGCCATTTTGAATTAATGAGAACTGTCGAAATCAGTTCAGCCGTTCTCGACATATAAGAGATCTTTCAAGCATATCTTCTTTGATAGACATATATATCGCACATATTTTGCTATATATCCGATTTGATTGATGTTAACATCAATGTAAAGATCAGAAGTTCGCCGGGGTTTAAAGTATTCGCGGTTTAATGAAAAATTTTTCAACACAAAAGATATGATCTACCCGCTAAATATTATCCGATGACCACTTAAATTGGTAGGCTTCTTCCCCGCCCTAAATGGGAAACCAATATTTCGAGGTGTAACATAAATTCTGGCCCAATCAAACTTATAATACCACCAACACATAGTGTTGTAGGGTATAAATACCCCCTGTCCTGGCCATAGTTTCCAATCGATTTGGCTAAAAACTTGAATTTCGGCTTCTTAGAAAATAAAAAAAAACTTCCTACAGAAGATATTTAATATAAGCTTACTACATAGAAAGGTCCCCAATGATATTTTTATTTAATAGGGGGGTCATCAAATTAAATGCTAATCTGGGAATTAAAACCCCTTTTGGAGTTTTGCATATATGACCTAATACCAACAACTCCACTTAGCTACTCCACTTGCTAAACAGGATTTCTGCATAAAAATTTATGTTTGATGAGCCGATTGAGGGATACAATTTTCGACCAAAACTAACTTCCCTATTGTCTCAATGTGGCTACAACGGATTTTGACGATATACGATTTGTCCATAAGTATAGTTTTCACATGACGGAGGATATAAAAAGTTCGAGCCATCATTAAGGACATATTTGCTTGTTTCATTTTTATCGCAACTTGAACATTTTTTTTTTGAGGAAGGGATTGATAGAACTCCAATTCGTAAATAATTTCCAATTTAAATTTCGGATGTTGTCATTATAACGTTCATCCTTTCGAACAATCCCCATTCGACTGAGTCTATAGTTTCCCGAAATCTACGCTTCTGGAAGAATATTTTATGCATGTGTATAATTTTTCTTGAAATACAGTCATGTTTTCAGCTGCAAACGTTTTATTTTGAATCTTGACTGTCCTCTGCCGTTATAAAGGGAATTCCAAACGATACTTGAGAATTTAGATTCCTGAACTTGTGTTGCTATATTTCCAATGTCTGCCAAAATATACGACAACAAATTCAGCAGCAATGAATAGTCAGACAATTCTCCTATTCAGCCTTAAAAATACTTGCGTTTAAATGGAGATTGTGATATTTTTCATACAAACGGGACAAACCCTATTAAATTCTGATAATTTCATATAAAAATAGTTGAAACGTATACCTTATCAAATACACATTGGGACCGAGCATAATTAGCATAGCTCCAACCCAATTTCGATACACGACCCAAATATATATAGAATACATCACCGTATCACCGTATGTGCGTACATTGTAGAAGGTACACACATGTAAATTATGAATATGGCCTCTTGTTTTCCACTCTAGATATTTGTCATATATGTTTGCATACACACGCTTATATTTTTGTGTATTCTATTGGGACATGTCAAATGTACTTTTCTAATCTTACAACCGTAAACTACTTCTGCAACTCAATTATACCGACACTTGTATGAAGGCTCTTTTTAAAGGGTAAACAATGGATAGATTTTAATTATTCTGCTTAAAAATACCACCGCCACACAAACTAGCAGGAGGGGGAGGTGAGACCAACGTAAACAAAATGTAAATGAACAAGACCCTCCATCGTAAATGTGTACACAATTTTGCATAGGCAAGCAATGAGGCGACAGCAGATTTGAAGCCCAGTTTATTCTGCTCTTTTTAAGTGTTTTCTCGGTGCTTGGTCTACAAACTGATTTTACTAGAGATATGAACAAAAGAGGTAGCAACACTAAAAGCATTCAGAGTCCACAGAATAGGTTCTGTAGTATGTTTATGAACGTCCATATATGTATGTATGGATGAACGTGATTGTAGAGCGACGAACAAGTTGTCTCAGTACTAGGTAGACGGCGGGAAGAGTGATGTTGAACCAATCCCATAATAACTAAAAATCGGAATTAAAAAAGTAAAAGACAAATATCTCACTTAAAATAGCTGCCTGTATGTCAACCAAAAAAAAAAATTGTTGTGGTCATAGTTATACAATTAGATTTGCCATTAATATAATTGTAAACATATATATTCTGAGTAAGTGCGCTTTAACTCAATGTCCTCTTTTTAAAATATTTGTGATAAACCAATAAATATTTGTGATAAATCACCATTTGTTTGTAAAAAAATAATTTAAATTTTCATTTACTATAGTACTTGAAATTCTGTTGCGGGATTTGTTTGGATAAGTTGTGTGCCGTTGTATATGCATATAAATGAATACATACATAAATACATATGTATATATGTATTGTGTCAGTTGATTGCCACTAAAACATACAACAAAAGTATTTCCTTCGGCTGGTCGGCTGAAATGATTGCTATTTTGCCAAGAAATTCATCCAAGTGTGAGAAGAAAACATGTGTGCAACCGAACGAAGCAAAAAGTTACAAAAATTACACCCACACACATACACATACATTCTCATATGTGTACACAATGGGAATAGGAGAGGTTGGATAATGACGGTGCTTTGAAGGTTTTTATTTTTATTTTCGTTTCACATTTCATAGATCCTTAGGATGTTTGTTTGGGAAGTGACATGAGCGTCGCTCTGTGTTTTAATTTTGTGGTCTTCAACGACTCGGCACAACCTTGACCCTGTACGGGGACCTAATAATTGTGACACTGTCCCAACCATGTGTCCTTTTGTGTTGCGTGCTGCAGCTTTCGGATTTTGCTAAATGAGCTTCATGTGGACGTCGGGTGGTAAAAATTATCGTTGGTATTTATGAAACACGGAGTTGTTTAGGTTCGAATGCGAAAACAAACCATCGACATGGAATGTGCTTTCGTATTTCGCTTTGAATTAGTGAATGGTGAATAACAGCAATAGGAATGAATAGTTGCGTTTTAACTGGTTTCGAGTGCTACTGATTTCACTCTCTTGACACGATACGACACACACATACACCAACTACACAAAATACACTGTGCATGTGTGTGTGTGTGTGCGTCGCGTGTGAATTAGTCCGTTCGTATACCTGCACACAAAAACGACGAGTTTCGGGTGAGAAGAATCAGCGTTTCGTAGTTCTGCTGAGATGAGTTATCAATCATTATTGATGCAGCTATTTTACGTTACTGAAACTGCTGGCTTGCTGTGTTATGTATTTCGATGTGGTCGGATACAATCGGGAGCTAACAATGAATTCCTTATACGTTATTACAGCAGGTTAATTTAATTTATTTGTTGCACATTTAATCACATTCAAGGCTAAGACACACTGACTGACAATACACACTGTACACATTTGTACATTCATTGATTCATGAATGGCAAATAAATTTTGGAACCTTAAATGTGTAACACAACAACAGAAATCGACTGAAATACATACGGACCAGTGTGTGTTCTGGGGACAAGCACAAGAAGACAAGTAGGCACACGAGGAACAAGGTTTATATCACGTGAAAATAAGGCATTGATTTTCTTAAGATAAGCTGTGCTCTGCTCTCTTCGTTTTTTGCAATTTTTTCCTTTGCATTTTACACTTTCACTTTGGATAGATGGAGGTCGGCCTTTAATGGCGTATGATTTCACAATTATTATGTCTCATAGCTTTGGAATTTTTCTTTTGTGAAAAGCATATTTTTAGGTATTTTCTCCAATCATGCTCTGAATAACAAAAATGGCCAATGTTGGTGCGTATGAGTGATATTTTATTGAAAAAAAAAAACGCATACACACACACACAAGTTACTCATACGTACTCCACTGATTGTATCAAATAAATTTCATTGAAGGCAATTTACACAATCTGTACAACAATATAAAATATTCAATTTACTTTGTTATAAAAAAATATTCACAGAAATTATTATTTAACGTGGACGTATCCTCGAAGTAAGTTATGGCACAGCGACAGGCACGAGCAACGAAACACGACTGCTCATCTCAACGAAAACGAATTTGCTTTTGTCCTGCTTTTAGTTACACAGCGGAACCGTAAAACCGATTACCTTCATTTTTGAGAGAACTGCAGAATACAAGTCGAACCTATACACTCCCTGGCAGTCTGTGAGCACATACATCTCTAGGGGAGTACGCGTGTGTGTGTGTGTTTTCGTGTGCTCAAGGGAGAGTACAAATATGTGCACTTCCATCATTGCTCTCAAATGGCACAGTTCTCGCAACCAACATACATGTTTAGTACAAACGGCAACATTTAGAACAGCCTAAAAACAACATGTGGAATAGTACCAATTTTAATTTGTGTCGTATTTGTTGGGTAGGGAGCACAATTAGCGCCATCCATCTGCAAAACTATAAAAACGATATATGTATTCGAAAAAAGGTTAACTTTTATATGAGGAAACACTTAAAATTGAAACTTGAAAATGATTAAATGTTTGCTGTCCTGCAGTTTTCGTATCATCTGTATTTTTTTTTTTTTTTTTTTTTTGGTTTTGACATTTAAAACATTATCAAAACGCTTAATGAATCCACTCCACATGTGCCATTAGGAATCCATTAGGGCCCTCACCATTTTGGATGGTATGAACAGAGAGTATAATTTGGAAGTAGTAAGAAATACATAAAAAATTCTAACAATCTTCACTATAACAACATCAAAAATGCCACCACACAGACTCGTAGAAAGCAAATTCCACGCATTGAACTTTAAGGTATTATCGATATGAAATGCAGACCAAATAAAAGAAAAATCATAAGAAACGTGTTGAAATATCGTGTCTATGGACACTTTTTATTCATAGGAAAGAAGATTTAGCCGATATCAAGCCGATATCAAAGTTATACCAGAAGAAATATCCAATAATACGCCAAGTGTAAACAGTAAAAATGTCTACTTTCTCCAAGACTAGCTTCAAAACAAAAAAAAAATCGTTTCGAAAAATCAAGCAAAGTTTCAATTTAGTACCACACCACACTCACACCTTAAAATATCTCGTCAATACAGATGGTTCATTTAGGCATTGGTTGGTTGCAAATTAAATAAATGGAGTGAGAAAAATTATTACATTTATTGTAAGAGTCGGGGATGGTTAAAAAAAGATAACACCGAACTCTGAATCACTGAGCTACAGAATTTACATACCGCGTTAAATCGATTGAATTAAATTTTGCAATAAAACTACCTCCGGTTACCCCTTCCACGAAATACACACAATATCTGAATAAATTAACGAACTGTTTGAATGTTTGCTGCACAAGTTTGGACAAAAAAAAACAACAAGACAATAGATTCACAAGCTGGCAATAGCGAGTATTCTTTGGTTGAACTCACTTCTTCCTGAGCGATTGCCTGCTTTTGAAGATGACCATTCCTTTCATAAAAATCGGCAATTGACGGAACGAGCAAAACTCCAACTTTATTCTTTACTACATGTTGATGTGTCGAAAAAGCGCGACGCGGACGCGACGGTAACATCATCCGGTGAGTTATCAGGGCCATGATTGATTGATTTTCAAAGAAACCGCACGGGTTTGTCTAACAAATAACCAAAGGAGTGTTATGACTTCGCCGCTGCAGAGTCGGGATGGAACTAATTTGTAGCAAACGGAAGTAACAAGCCACTTTACCACATTGTCAATAACAATGCGTGTTTGTTGCCTTATGCCTCATTATTCTGTTATTTTGTTAAATATTTGTTAATATTAATAGGTACTATACGACAAGACGGCAATAAGGGCCGACGTCATGCTATCATTGAATGGGGTAAACACATGTGTCTACTTTGATGGTGCGATGTACTCTTTGGACACTCACATCTACCATTAATGCGTTCCAACAATGACAGATAGCTTCACATGTTGTTGTTGTTGTTGTTTGATATCAACTCTCTTTTTTTAGTAAAAATGCAAGGTTTTTACTTCTGGATTTGTCCAAAAAGCCAGTCTTAATTTTAATAATGACACAATTAGTAAAAAACGATTCAGGGCAGTCATTTTGATAAATGGAACGGGAACACATCAATTATGTTTAAGTAAATTAAAAAATATGTTCATGGAAGTTGTTTTAGTACCCGAAAAGATAACATTTTAAACATTGTAATTAGTAAAAAGTTGTTCTAGATTATATTTAAACATCTCTTATATAAAAACAAGTTGTACATTTTGTTGTCATTTTATTTTCTACAACACCAATGTTTTTATAGAACAACATTAGTTGTAACCGTTCATTTGGAAAAGACAGGACAATAAAACCAAACATACCAAAAATAAGTACAACCATAATACAGCTTGAAAACAGTATTATATTTGTCATAAAAATGTTAACAATGCTTGACCTTGGCATATACGGTCTATCATTAAGCCTATCGGACAACTAAGTTTACTATAAAAAAAAATATTGTGATTTGCAATTCAAAGAGAGTCAAATGCAAAAACTACTAAATTTATTGTCAAATGGGCCTTGCTTATGACACACAAATTTTTCTCAAGTTTGTTCTTAGTTTTTAATTTTTTTTATTTGGTAAAAGTTTTCAGCGAGAAATGATTCTTTAAAAAAACGATAACACGAGGTAAAATTAGGATATATTTTCTAAACGAATTATATGGTGAGGATGAACTAATAGGGTGTCTGTGGCATAACTTCAACAATGAAGGCCACCAAAGATGACCTTGTTTTACTATTACAAAAATAGGCTAATAAAAATATTAGTGTTTATCTTGTAAATAAGAGTTCAATTATGAATGTTCTCTGCTTGTTAAGCGAGCATTTTTTAATACTTCTCAAACCATTTTGGTATGTTGGGAAGCCACTACTTCTGATTATTTTACCCTCCCTTTTTTCATTTGTTTATCCCGGTTTCTTCATTTTTCGTCAATATACAATTATTTTTATTTGTTTAAAATATCAAAAATTTTCCAGTCCGGTCCTTTTTGACAAACACATACACACATAAAACGCATCATATTAAACAGACTATTTAAAATTGTAAACCTATTATTTATCTTTAAATGTTTAAAATTCATAATTAGTTTCTTCGAAACTTTACAAAACTTTGCAATATTGAATGCCTTAATATAAACTTCCGTAGGTACATACCTGATTAAATATAAATGTTTATATCTTGCCTTTCCTGAAAACAAAAAAGAAATATAAAAAAATATCAAAAGGTACATAATAAATCAAGAAGAAAAGTTTAAATTTTAGTGTTTTTATTTTTTAATTTAAAATATAAATACAATATTTTACTTTTACAGAAAATAAAAAACAAAGAAACGATTTATGCTACTCTTGCTTATTCCTTAGTGAACAATAAAATTAAAAATACAGGACATCGTATGAAGGATCAATGTTTAATATCTGTTTATCATTCATTTTTACAGAACATAAAACACAAAGAAACAATAAAGCTACTCTGGCTCATTCCTTAGTGAACAATAAAATTAAAAAATCAGGACATCGTATGAAGGATCAATAAATTTCCATAGCCATACCACAACATTAATATAGGTAGTGCGATCCAGTAACTAGTTATCGACTATTATCGATACCAAGAAATTTCCATTTACTTCTAATTTCGTTAATTAATGACATTTGTCGGTAAGTCAGCGGCGAAAACAAGGTACTCGTTAGAAACTACGTTGATAACATATATTTCACTTCTGCACAAACATTTTGCCTTAAAAAGCCACCAATTGTTTTCGGTAATGGCAGTTATAGTTTTTCATTACAGAAATAAATATTGAAAATAGAATTCTCACTCACGCGCCCATTTTGATCCTCTTCAACACATTAAAAAATTACACATCAGCCAAAATTAATTATTAAAATGATATCTAACATTATCGGGATACATTCAAAGAAACGATTTCATCTCTTGAAGTGGACTGTTCAAAACCAGTGTGTTCGATCAAATTGCTTTGTATAAATGCAAGAGGCAAGTTCAAAATGGAACGATAAAAATTGCACTAAGTAAACTTGCCTAGTATAAATCTGTAGTGGTATTCTCTTACAATTTTTATTATTACAAAACAAAATCATCTTTAAAACGCAAAATTTTCATGTAACAAATAATTCGAAGTTACCAACATTGTCAGCAATCGGTAGCTGTAAGCGCCTATTTTAATTTTATTGCTACTCACCAACAAATTTCATTAATTACCGAAAAATATAAGCGATTGAAAATTTTATTTATCGATTAGCGTCGTCACTAGTTAGGTAATCACAATACAGGGCATTACCATATAAATAAACATTCTTTAAAACGCTGTAAAAACAAAGGGCGTAAGCTCAGATATCTATATTTTAGCACTCAGTTGAATTCGCACACACTTCTTGGAGGATTCGTTTAAAATGTATTTTTACTTCAAGAAAACTATTTAAAGTACCTTATTATCATTTTTTTTAATTGAAAAATGTTCAAAAGTATATATTTTTTAGAGAGGAAAAATGTAACAATTTTTGGTTAAACCTGTCCTGAATCTATATTCCCTCCCTCTAAAAAAATATTTCCTTATCTGGCATGATCCCGATTTTTTAAATTAATCTGACCACGGATAATGATGGCAACCCTGCAGTTTTATATCATCCATATTTGACTAAACTTGCGGTGAGTGTCCTAACTGTGACAGAATTTTATGCGCATGTCTTGCAAAACGAGTACGACATGAAACAAATATCCGGTTATTTTTGAAAATAACCACATTTCGTCCACTGTCGCTGAAATTTACGATACACACAGCTGTTTTATTTGTGGGCAAAAGAAGTTGTCTATACAGGTTAGTCAGAAAATAATGTTGGAAAAAGATAAATTAAATTCATCGGCTGGAGATGGACGGAACGCTTTGGTAAAACATCTAAGTCCGCTAGTATATTGGGCCCAGACCGCCTATCAAATAACTCTTAAGGTGGATCTTAAGGACGCAGAGGTATAGTAACATTTACTTCTTAGATCCTCAACACTCTAACTTCCTTCTAAATCGGATAGTTCGCCGATGTGGATTTCACACCCACAAAATTGCAATTTTTGGCAAAGGGTATCGGTGCTAGAGGTCTGAATGAATATGCCTTTGAAATTACTTTTTATGGGTTTATCGACGACGAGGTAAGCAGTGAAGAACATGAACTAAGTACTTGAGTAATACCAGCCCCTTCCATTCGAAACAGGAATCTAGTTACAGAGTATTTGACAATAAAATCGAATTCAACATTATTAAAAGCGAGAAAGCATGGTGGCCGCGTCTTATAGCCACACCTCAGAAACCTCACTGGTTAAAAATTGATTTTGATCGTTGGCAAACGGAAGACGATTTGGCAGACGAGGAGAAGCCAAGAAATGTCCAGGTTCGAATTGGGTAATCAAAGTTGTATGAACTATTCTAATATTTTCAACAACATTACTATTTAAGGAAGACTATTCACAGGAATATGAACGTTTACAGAAGGAGGAAATGGGCTATATAAAAGGTAACTATTTTCAAATTATTAACTGACGCATTAATCAAAGTGTGTGCTTTATTTTAAATGCTGCTTTCAAAGAAAGCTCAAAAAAGGTTTATCTTATAATATACAACTTGGCGCAGTTTGTGGGATTCCTCTATGTTCTATGTGTTTTGGCCATTAGATATTACCGAGATGGACCCTCAATGATACCAACTGCATATGCTTTAGTTGGCAACGCAATGAAGTTCATTCAACTTCTGCAGTATCTGGAAGTGTTGCATCCAATGTTTGGGTACACAAAGGGATCCGCACTAATACCATTTATGCAAGTAACCGGAAGAAACTTTGTTCTTTTTGTGATGATTGAATTTGAGGAACGAATGCAGTCGAAACCTGCGGTATTTTATGTGTTTGTCATTTGGTCTTTGATTGAAATATTTCGGTAAATATGTGCAATAGATGTATGATACGTATGATATTAATTTATAGATTTTTAGATACCCTTACTATGTTAGTCAAATACTGAAAATGTCGTACGGATTACTGACCTGGATCCGATACACAATATGGATACCTCTGTATCCACTCGGCATACTATGTGAGGGTATCATCATATTGCGGAATATTCCATATTTTGAGGAAACAAAGCGTTTTAGCATCGAAATGCCGAATAAGTGGAATATAAGCTTTGATATGCCGACATTCTTGAAAATATACATTATCTTACTAATACTTCCTGGGTCATTTATGCTTATGTCGCATATGGCAAAAACAAGAGCCAAGAAATTGAATAAGCGACAACGTGCTCGAAAACTGAGTGACTAGGAATCCGATATCCTATTAGCTATATACCAAATTTTTATATGTCAAATCGTAGTATTTTGTGTTGCTAGCTCTTAATTACTCTTAAATATTATTTAAACTATAATTTTGATGAAAATAAACATTATTTAATCGTTTTACTTGCAATAATTAAGGAAATTCAAATTGTGTTTAACTAACGTTCGGGTATGATCAGTGTTAAGTGGTTATTTTAGTTTTGAGACTAGGCTTATTGAAACAACGACGTGGCTCGGAGGTTGAACTCAAAGGGTTTATATTTTATTTGAAGCAAATCGAAACAGCCCGCAATAAACAATGCTATGTGCTTAAAAAATAAACACTTCGGGAAGAATCTATCTCTAAATGTTGTTTACCCTATTCATGAATAGTGTTCAAACCAAATAGGGAAGCATTTTTACTTAGCCAATAATGGGCGACATTGGTTTTCCTACAAATTTCTTTAAGACAATTTTTTTATTTAACTATGTACAATCAAGGACGTAGAAGAATCACAACTAGCGGCCGCGTTATAAATTAATTGCCTTACATCTGTAGATAACTTGCTAAACGCTTTGTTGCTGTTATTTGGTCTATGTTATGAGCAACCGTATACGAAATGATTAATTTAAGTTAATGAATCTGTACCTATGTAAGAAAACCCAATCATAGTGGTTTGATGCATTGTAGGTCAAAATGGACCAATATTTTTTTTTAAATTGTGATGAATCTCATAAAGGCATTTGCCCAGGAAGTATTTGTTTAACATCAAACACTCCGGAAATATATGAAATCTCTACAAATTTTATCGAATCGGGCTTCATCATATATGTACTCTATCGACCTACTTTTATTTAGTGAGCCAAATAAAGTTGTATTTAGAACGTGAATATATATCCGTGATTAATATTTAGAAGTATGATACATTTTTCTGTTGAGAGCAAATCCTCTTGGACAATTTGTAATACATGCTTGAACAAAAGCTACAGGTATCTGGAGTTAGACAAAGAGGATACACCGTGGCATGCACACAAAATGAAATGTGCTACTATAAACCAGTTTAAACGTGAATTTCACCATCGGATTGATATTATTGTTTGTCCATTCCCATTTATTTCCTGTTTCCATAACAAAGAACTTGCGTATAGTATATATTGCTAAATGTGAATAAGTAGTAATTGCACATCAATATAATTGTGACCATGAAGTCTGCCTTTAATGCGTAGTTGAACTTCTCTCCTCGCACAAAACAAAATTGATTCATAGTTTTTAATTCTTATAAGAAGTGTGGCAGCAACAGTGCGGCGAACATACACAAGGACATTCAATTGTCCTGTTCAAAACACGCAACATTATACATACACATATAATTTATGGCTTTCGCAAACAGCATTAGGGCCACTGTTCCACATTTATGTCTTACAATGCCGTCTTTCATATTGGCACATACTCGTGCTTCAGTGTTTAATCTGATTGCGAAAAATATTTTGTGGAACTTACCTTAATAATAAAATAACACTCGCCAATTACTATGTTACTACGTGTGTTCCATTCATTCACAACAACAAATTCGTATGGGGTAGGCCTTCGTGGAGAACCTTCGTTGAGAAAAAAAGGATATACATAGATAGCCTTCTAGTTATAGGTTGTTCCTCAACTTGAACTAAACTCTAAACATTGTTCTAGTTTATATACCTATAGTTTCTTTTTTGGAATCAACAAATAAAATCATGACACAACTCCAATATGTTCGAATGATGTTGAATACTTCAGTTGTGCCCTTCGACGGGACAGCAGAGCAAACCTAGAGTTATACACTTTCTCATCACTACTTTGTGTATTTTCATTTTTTCAACGAATTATCACGATAAAATTGCGAAATTTGACTTGGAACACTCCATTTACGACAAAATAATACACAAAAATATATCATCTGCACAGGACACAAAACTATTACTGTTGCCAACAACGGTCAAATGTGGCAACGCAATCATAATAGTAGTCCGGTAATGCGACTGAGAGTTTTCTCACGACGGCAGAATTTCATTGTCTCTATCCGCACTTAAAAATAAAGGTAACTTTGTTTTCGACATCTAGATGTCTCTCGGCAATGTTTTTAATGACAACATCCATGCTACAATAAATAGAAGGTAACTGGAAACCACAGCTGATTTGACTCTACCGTGAAATTAGTGTCAAATTCAATGCGACCTATTTTAATTCCTAGCTTAAGAAGGTAAAGTAATAAAATCATACGTTCACAACATCTCATTGTCAAAATGTGTATTTATAAATCCATTGCATACATCCACAAATCAAAGATGGATAACTGATTTCTTTAAAGAAAACGCAAAGATGGATTTGTCTATTTTAAACTACTTTCCCCTCTTAATTCTACAAAGGGTATACACATGATGAAATTAAGAAGTTAAAGTCATTTCAAAAAAAAGGATACCCACCTCTGTATTTTCTGCAACTAACCTTGTCAGATTTCACTGCATAGAACTAGGTTTCCATCTCTGATTTGTGTATATACAATGGGTTTATAAATATATATTTTGATATTTGACAATGGATGCATCAACGCTTGGGAACATTGACACGTCAAATTTTTTAAAATATATTTTCAAAAATAAGAATATTTTTATAAGATTTCTTATACGACACCAATTGTAGTTTGTTATGATGTACATTTTTCAAGATTTGGTACAAATTTGAATAATTTTTCATTAAGAACTTTCAATTTCAAAATTGCTTTGACAGCTTATTGTCCCAGCAGCTGTGTCGATGTGACTACCTGCATTCTTCTACCATGCTTTTGATATAACCTTCTGATAATTCTACCATGGTGCCGACAAACATTTGGAGCTGAAGTTTATCTTCGCTTAGCAATACGTAAATTTTAGGGACTCATTTACTTAAAGACAATACCATATACATCGATATGCAGTTACTACTAGTTAACTTCTAAGAAGATAAAAACTCATAGTACAGTTTTAAACTCCAAGACTATAGTAAAATATTAATATATACTTTTAAAAATTTATAATTTTTAAAATTCGCCGATTTGTAATATTTTCTTTACTATGTATTTTTTATATTTTCAACACACAATAAGAGAAGTATGTTTTGTCAATAGGGTCGAATTTTTGCTAGCACTGTTAAAGACAATTATTTTAATAACGAATTCTGATTTATGTCACGTTCGCATTAGACCTTTTGAAGGATAAAGGCAAGGCCAGTCTTGTTGTTTTAATACTTACATATTAGTGGAATACAACTTCCATCCTTTATGTTACTTTCAATAGTGACGGAAGCGACAAACCAGATAGTGTCTCAAAAGTGGAACAGCATCTTTTCACATTCTAATATTTTTGGATAAGAATGCGATAGTCGTATTATTTTTTAAGTGACGTATTAAATGAAGTGAAGTATGTATATGTTTTGACATTACAAGGGTACCTGTATTGTGGGTATTATGCCAGCCAACTGGAATTCTAACTAGAAATTAAGCTTCCTTAGAGTAGATAATAAATGCCCACTTTTTTAATTTATCTCTCAAGTATGGTCCCACTTCAGATATTTTAACCCTGCATATTTCGGGCAAACTACTGCAACGATGCGAACGTGTTGCTAGTGGTTAAGATACCTTCTTTTTGAAAAAGAAACATAATATCATATTTGGTAACGGTACCATTCCGATTCTCTTTGGTTGGCCGATTTGTTTTCTGTGTATTAGAGTTTGGGCCTCTTTCATAAGCACGAATATGTATTTCTAAAGACAAATTTATTGATTCACATTTTGGTGTACGTTGGAGAACGTGCGATTTCGCTATGATTTTTGCAGGAATCTAGAATCTACTTACGTCAAATTGGACTTACTTCGACAGTTTTGTGTGGTTAAGGAACACAAACATTTGTCCTTTTTAGAAAACTATTCCAATATATATGTCACGTTTTAAATTCGCCATAAATTTGGACGAGGCAGCAGCAACTAAAAATCTACTGTATCAATATTATTAATTTCAGTATTGTATTAAAACGTTTAGATTTGTTTAAAATACTACATTTATTTTATTATATAGAATTACATCAATTTAAGTTTAAGGTTTCGTAAAATATGTATGTATGTATATGTAAGAATATATCAAGAGTGAAATACATATTATTTAAAATGTCAAAATTAGTCTTTACACGATAAAAATAAAAAGATATACAATGTGAAATTTTGATGTTTTTTGTCCATCCGGGCGATTTACAATCCGTCTCTTTGTGTGCACATATATGCATGTGAAAACATATATAAACATCGTATTAATTACTAAGTAGGCATAATAATACAGTACATACTAAAGTGGTATTTAAATAAAATTACATACATCATATTGTTCTGCATCGTTACCCATTGAACCTAACATCCCGACTTTTTCCTTAATTGTGTCAAGCCGAGTTATTACTCGAGCCGTTTTTTGTCAACTTTAAAAAGATTAAATAAAATGCTCTCCTATCGATGCGAACAGATAATTTGTTCGTCTTCTTTCTTACCACTGAATGATTTCTCAAAAAAATTAATCAATTTCGTATTCACAAATCTGTTGTAGAATTTGGCGAATTCACTGTTGGAGTTGAAAATCACGCTCATAGGAATCTGAAAAGTTATGGATTTGAAAAAAAATCACTGTTGTTATGTAACGAATTTCATCACTGTAAAAAGACGCCGAGCCTTTGTGGTTTCGTAGACAGATGCTTATAAACAATATGGTACGGAAGTAGTGGTGAGGACAATATTTTTTAATTTCGCCCACAAAATATTTTTTGCAGTACACAAAAAAAAATCTTTTAATATCGATCTAATATTTACTATGTATACATGGTAGATAAATCGTCTTATCGCGCTGTTTGCGATCTACCTCTCTGGTTTGTTGTCGTATTTGATGACGTTATACCGCTTGTAACAGCGGCGTTCATATTTTTGGAACAACGAATGCAGATGTAATCGTCGTCGGCTTTGATTTGACTCCGGTTAAGACCGACGCAGTACATGTGGAACCATTCATTACAACCACCATCGCACTGAACCCAGTCCACCTCACGACCTGTAGGCTTGTGACAATTTTCTGCTCGACACTCATCCTCGTCATCCTCTTGTTGAACAGTTTGTGATCTCTGAGAGTTTTTCTTTTGGCTTGCTGATCCAGAACTGTTGTTAGCAGTGTTATTGTTCCCTACCCGTTTTCTGTGTTTCTTCTGTGATCCAGGCCCTAAACTATTTGACTGTGAACCACCGTTTGCTTGCTTTGTTGGGGTGAAATTTTCAGAATTTTCCTCTGACATCTTTGACGTGGCATCCGATTTTCTGGCGGATTTTTTTGCTGATGCATTATTATTATTGGAGGCAGAGACTGATTGTTTACTCGGAGTTACAATCTTTTTCCGTGGAACCGGACATCCTGTGGCGGGGTCCAGAGACCTTCGCTTTTTTACAGAGCTACTAGAAGTTCGCCCATTACCACTATTACTGGTACTATTGGGACTACTCTGTACAAGAAGGCTATCATTTGAATCTTCCGCTGCGGAATTGACACTGGAAGGCGGTTTGGGTTGGTTATGGTTTTGCTGTTTTAGCATAGATTGATGCTGTTCTACCAAAATAGCTGCTTCAGAATTATTGCAAGGTTGAACTGCCGATAGTACTCTCCAAAGCTCTTGCGATTCATCAAGCGATACTTCCAAAAGGTCACCCTCCATCATAAGCTCTTCTAAATTTTCCGTTTCGCTGTCTGACAGTAACTTTTGGAAACGGTTTTCATTATTCGAATTGGCGATGTCGTCAATTTGAACTGAATCTGCCTCATCTTCGTCGTCGTTGCTAAAATTTTCCTCAACTATATGAAGTCGATACTCGTCATCCGAGTCGGCATTGTCCGAACCATCGTCCTTGGAATTCCGCTGACTACTTCGCCTTTGTTTGCGATCAGATGTATTCAATTTGCCCGATTTACGTTTCTTCTGCTTACAGCGTTGTTGGGAAGTAGATGCAATAACTTCTAGAGCATCTACAACATCGGGACATGCAAGGGCTTTACGTGCTCTGTCTTGCCAGTTCATGGCTCTTTCAGCGAGACAACGCAGAGCTTCATCTTCCGGTAAACGTATGGGAAGGGTTTGCAACGATACCAACAACGGTAAAATAGTTTCAAGACGTGGTCTTTTAGAGCGTACACAGGATGGACATAACCATTTCGGCCTCTGAGTCTCTTCTGCTTGGCAGAAGACACGTGGGTTTGTTGGAGGCGGTGGAACACAGTCCTCGTGGAACCAATCTTTACATAATTGACAATTGAACATCACACCTTGAAAGGATGATTTGCAAAGGCAATAATCGTCACGGTTTGGTTTTTTGTTCATATTAAGTTTTCTCAATTCTCTCATATCGCGCAATTCCTTCTCTTCTGCTGATTTGACGGAATCAACGATCTGAGTCGGGTTCATTTCTTTCACAAAATTATCTTCGAACGGTTTCTTAAGATCACAATCGATTATAACAGGTTCTGCCCTTGGCATTAGGACTTCCAGCAATGTGTAATACGTATTCCTTTTCAAGAATGCTCGCTCTGTATTTTCCTTCCAGTCGTGTGCACTCTTTAAGTGTCCCTGCATACGCAACAGCTCCTCAAGTTTAATGGGAATAGTTGAACCACGAGCTACAATAGATTCGAGTGTGTGGCAATATGGGAAGTGATCATTGGCTTGTAGCTGCTCAACAGACCGTAACCAATCTTTTGCTTTTTTCAAGCCGTCCTTCAGCACACTGTACGATGGTACTTGACCCTCAATTTCCGATGCTGTCTTAAGAAATTGTTCGATCTCGTCCAGTTCATGTCGCTGTATATTACAATTGAAATACTTGTTTGCTTGGCATTCCCATGCTTCGATTGAGGCACCAATTTCCTGTAATTTTCTGATTTCTTTATCTATAACAGATTCTGTAGGCGCTATTTCCGAAGCAGCTACCTTCAGCAAACTTGTTATGTCTTCGTATGTAAGTTTAGAGCTTCCAGCACGAAGTCCCTGTGAACGTCTATACCATTTAAGCTGTCTAAGTCTCATGTTTAGTTGCTGAATTTGGGGCAGTTCTATACGTAAAGAATTCCCTTCACCAATAATCGATTCCAACTCGGATTCCTCCACAGATTCAAGAGGTATTTTCAAAATTTCAGTGGTACGCTCCAAGAAGTTTTTACCCAAAACCAGCAACTCGCGAACTGAGGCACCTTCGTCAATAGTACAGCAAAGATTGTCGATTTCTTGCACGAAGAGCTCAAGCTCTTCCATGGTTAGCTTATATTGGGCAGCTTCCAAGTTATTATCCGAACGGGTTCGGACCTAAAATAATTACAAAATGCGACAATTAAAAGAAAAATTATTAATTGACGGTACAAATTTACTCACTTTATTAATTCCTAGTTGCTGGATGACGGTCACACACTTCTCCGCCTCTAAAACGGCGGCGTTCAAGCGATCAATAAGTAGAGAGGATGGAAATTTCTTTACTTCTGCCTCCTTACAGAGTTCTTGTAACTCCTGCAGAGTCACTGAAGTCGGTGTGTTGGCATCCACAATGTCACGACATCGAGATAACCATCTCTCGAAACTTTGGGCTTTCGATTTTAATTTTTGTAACATTAAGGGCATTTCATCAAGAGTGTAGCGATACAATAGTGTATGTTTTTCGGGGGGACAAGTACACAAAACCGTGTAATGTCGTAGGCAAACGATTCCCTTTGTGCATTCACACGAAACGGCGGAAAGGAAGCAAGTGGTATTGCACTCTTGGCAATGGCGTTCGTCGTCGGGAATGAGCTCGAAAGCTTTGCGTTCTGCACGTGTCACTCCCCATTCCAGAAGGGATTTGCGTAATTTCTTTTCTGAATCCACCATTTCGGCCATATCAATATAGCAAGCTGTGGCTATACCGAAAGTGAGTTTTGCTGGCTCCAATGCCATTTTACAGACCAGTTCATCGTGGGAAAACACACAAAATCTTCGAAGCATTGAATAGTGATTTATACATTCGCGTCCCATTTTCAGCCAGTCTGCAGGGGCAAAGTTGACAGCTTCGGCAAAATTATAGCCTTGATTAAATCCGGCGTGATAGGCGCGAGGGAACGTTATCACAAACTCGCCTGCGTTCTGATCGGTACGGTATACCGGAACACGATTATTCATCAATATATTGGGATTCATTATTGTCACTAGCTGGTGGAGTAAGTCCGGCTGGGACGCAAACAATTCTGGAGCAGCTTGTTTCATAGTTTCTTCAAATTGTTCAGCACAACTTCCTGGCACTCCGTACCAAGTCTTTGGCTCGCCCCAATGCAAATAATTGATGGAATAGCTCCAGTGATCTTCGTTATGCCAACAGAAAGCGGCAAAGCACATTCCAACGTACATCCATGGAGCATTCATCCCGCTTATGTCTGCATTAATATGACCAAGGATTGAATCTTCAAGCAATGGCAAATTATTCAAATTCCAACTCGATTCGGCATATTCCTGATCGCCTGGCAACAAATAGAGCGAGCTTTTAGTGGGAAACCCAGAACCATGGTCCATTGTATGCAGATCGGCCCCGTATTCAACGGTAACGTCCTCATCAATTGAAGATACAATTCGCCAAAATTCACGTTCAACCAAATCCGTGGGGACCAAATGTACGGGCTTTCGAAAATAGTCCATTTTGAACTGGTCGGCCATTTGTCCGAATTGCTGAAGGGTATATTCACGTTCAGCCTGTTCGAATCCAAACGCCTCTGTGGGTTTGCTGACTTCCTCAACTACGCAACGTGGGCAAAGCCACTCCCCTAAAAAAGAAACGCAACAGTAATGAATATGAATGTTTCCTTATACTGTTTAAATTGTTTTGAGAAAAAGAGTGCCAAATACCAATAGGATAATAAAATAGATATAGAAATTGTATAAAACTAATAATGCAGACAGTATATAGCAAGTTCTGGCAGAAATATGGAAAAACTAAATAAAGTGCAACCAAATGAACACAAACCTTTTGGTATGCTCGAAAGAGGCGGCAATAAGCAGAATGTATGATATGAATCATCACAGCCGTCGCAAAGTAGCATAGATTCCTCCACATCCCCTCGGTTGCAGATGTGGCAAATGTATTTCATAAGTGGATCTACAGCTGCATTAGGATCTGGAGCCTTCTTTTGGGCAGAAGCGGCAATTCCATTTCCAGCATTCGAACGCCCGGCTGTTGATGCAGTAGATGCATTGAAGCAGCTCATTAAGTCTCGCTTAAAATCTTCCTTAGTTTCAGTTTTTACAGATGTCCGATTGGAGCCTAGTCCACAACTTGCATTTGAATTGGCGAAGCGTTTAGAGCGTCTGGCATTATTTTCGTTCGGAGGTGCTATCTGCTGACGAGTAGGTATTTCATGTGCTTTATAATCAGTGCCATCTTCCATTTTAACGTCAGAAGCTGTGGATGAACCTGTTACAGATTGGCCCAAGACTTTTCCCGACGTATAAACTTCGAATGGATGGAGTATTCGTTCGTAATGTGCCTTCAGTGTAGCGCCAACACTTTTACTCGATGGATATGACATTCGATTTGCAACTTTTGCCCATTTTCGGTCTCTGGTTGTTTGCTCCATTCCTCCTTCTTCCTGGACCATTCGGTGTAATGTATACAAATCTAATGCTTTCCTTTCTACCATAGGTATTTTGAGAGAAGATCCTTGTAGCTCCCAAAATTTAGCTATTTGATCCAAAAAATTTAACTTAACTCGAGTTTTTGCCTCCAACTCATTCAAGCGCTGAACACGTGGGGTAAATTTCAATTTATCCACATCAACAGCAAAGGGAGGTGACCAAGATTCTGGAGGCAAGATCTTTGCGATACCACATTTCTCCGCTATTGGACGTATTTTGCTTATGTAAGCAAGAGGATTTTTAAATTCATCGGGAGTGGGTCGAAAAACTGGACATTCAAGTGGTGTATCAAAGTGAAATTCCTCAGTTTTATTCATATTGAAAGTACTCGAACTGTGTGGCTGAGAATGGTTCTTTTCCTTTCGACCTGAACTTGTTGGCTGGGGACAACTACTGTGATACTTTTTACTGGCACTAGATTTCTCTTCATTGCTGTTTACTGGCACTCCTACACCAGAATCTGAATTTGAGTTTTGTTTCTTCTGAGCAGATTCACTACCGCTTACATTACCACCTGTAGAAGTTCTTGCTCGAAGACGTCTAGCTGGCGTTGTAGTACCATTAGTACTTGCGGATGCTGATGTTGTCGCTGGACTGCTAGCTGTGCTGCTACTGCTACTATCGGCATTGACAGTAATCTTTGTTGACATTTTCAATGATATGTAGACGTCTTGTACTTAAAAGAGAACAAAATTCATGAATGTTAAGTTTAAAGAATCTAAAATTACAATATTATATGAAATAAACATTTTGTATCTAATTATTAAATAATAAATAAATGGGCCCAACGTCATGATCTGTTCATTATAAACCTGATTTCAATAGAACGGATATTCCAATTTTCTGTGTTGACTCCTGTCAGCAATCGTACAGGAGGTTGATGAAACTTTGTGTTCGAAGATTTTCTAACGCAATTTCGAATTGTCAGATAATTTACTTATCCAATATCTATTTCGTATTACTAATATCAACGTGGCTTTATTTTGGCACACGTAGTAAAAATATGTTTCCAAGAACTGGCTAAAAAATCCGACCGAAAGACCTTCACGTGTATCCACTTTTCAATATAACTCCCATATAAAGTTGCCCCTGATTCTCGCTATGCAATACGCTTCACCACAACATCCTACCGATTTCACTAGCGTTTGAACATTTAGAAGATGTTGTAATTAAAAAAATCTTTGTAGCGGATGGTGTTTTAGTTTTGGGAGCGTCACGAAAGACGATGGTCCTATATTTCTACCTTCGCACCCGGATAGACTGTGACAAAAAGATTGCGACTACCCTTTGCTTTGTGCGAGATTCACGATATTTTAAAATGTTGACCATTTTGAGCAGAAAGAAATTTTTTTCCCTATGTGATTCTGATTGTGATTCTTTGTGGGGAATGTAAAAAGTCGAGTTAACCCATACCCATATTGTAAATGCCATCTTATTTACCAATGCATTTAAAATTAAAACAATTGTGAGATCTAGTCTCACCCATATGCCTAAAAATTACGTCATAATTTATGCTTTCCAATTTTTTGTATCACCTATAATGGATCTCGTACACTATGCACCTCGACCATTTTCTCCAAAATGTGTTAAAATTAGTACTTTGACAAACAAGATTTACTGTGTATTATTTTTAAGTTGATGATTTTATTTTCAAATATCCTTATTAAATAAAGTCTGCCTGGAGTTTGAAAACTACCCCAAATCACATTTTATGGATATGCTGCTTGATTGTGCTTGTGTAAAATATGGTTGCATTTTCATTAAAAATGGAGAGCGATTTACCTTCATTTTTACCAATGTATTCGCAATTCATGTCAATTCAATCCCTAGACACCAAAAGAAAACTCTGCACTCCACATAAAATACAAAATGAACTTATGCACACAGTCTCATAGACTGTTAATATCGATTAATTGTAATATTAGCCGTGCAATGGCAACACTTTTTGTTAGTTTCCCAAACAACCCCCCACTGCTGTTCGGGAAAAAATCATAGATAAAAAATATAAATTGTCTTTAGTCCTCCAGGAAGGACCAAACCGGATATAGAAACCCGTAAAAAGTTAACCTGTAGTGAGCTTGTGTAAGAAACTCCTATAGCAATAATGTAATATACAAAACAAAACCACTTACACGCTGTTGGTTACATATAAAGCCCAACTCTATTCAAAATAATACACACGCAATTACTCACACAGCCACTAATACACTAAAGACAAATACGAACACATTCAATCACCATCATAATTCACCTCTTGTATACGGACGTACGAATATATATATACAAGTTTATACATAGCTGCGAAGTACATACAAACAAGCACATATATATCTGTACATATATTTAACATTCGTGTATGTTTTCTCTATTCATAATATTTAATTAGTTCCGAACCCATGAATATCCAACTAGTTGTCGCAATTGCCTAATAAAATAAAACAAATTTCACTTACCCGTGCCACCGATGCTTTCTTCTTAATCCTGTGAAAAGTTGAACTAGGTTTTCAGTAAAAGCAAATATATATTGTCTCTCTCTTTGTTGTTTTTGTTCATTCACAAAATTTTGAGTACAGTATGTTTTGCATAATATATGTGCATATTGTTTGACAAAAGTACAATTTAGTTTTTATGTGATGGACACAAAACAATTAAACGTGGAGCATGTATGCATCCATTTACCACATCGTATTTAGCACAATTCATTCACAACAGAATTCGATTTCAAGTATATTTTCTCGAATCGCACAAAAATATTTTACATTTCACCCAAAGTGTGCTTTTTACAAAGTTCGCTTGGTTAATTGCTGATGTATTTTCACTTTTTTCTGGCATAGATCGTCCCAAAAAGGTGGCCCTTACACATCATATCTACAGGCAACTAGGCTTTTGTTTTTATTTTCTCCTTGTATTAGGAGATGGTCATTGTAAAAATAATCCACTTGTGTAGAAACAAGGGATAGGCATTATATTGTGCGTAAACAACTTTTACAAATTTTTGATCCTGTTTTGGCCCAAATGTTTTCCAGACGGTGAAAATTATTTTTTCCACAGATAAAAGCTTCAAAATGTCGCCGAGAATTATATTCACTAGCAAATTTTATGCGGTAAATAAACTGTTTATAAGTATTTAACTTTTAAATGCAGACGTTGCTTCACTTTTAGGATTATATATTCTTCAACATAGATTGTAATTTTTGTGCAAAGTTGCAAAGATTTCAGATTTCACACGACGTACTTGCTTACTTCGATGGCCGAGAATTGTGAGAAAAATATAGTGGGGCGCAGAGTTGTATTTGTTTTGACATTAGATTAATTTATCGTACAACCGTCACCGTTTGACAATTTGTTGTCTCTGTGCCTCCTATTTAAATTATTGCTTTGCTAACGCAAAAAACTCACCTTCTCATTTATGGTACAATAAAAAAGTAAGGTAGAGCTAACAGCTGATTACAATTTTTTTTAAGTGTGCCCGATTTCTGCCAATTTTGTGAACGTATTTATTGTTTTGAAAAAATTAAAAAAAACATATTTTCAAAGGTATTAACCAGATAACCATGCAATTGAATGATTGAAAATAATTAAATAACAACAACAGCCTTCACATGTCAGTTTAAAAATGGTTATATTTTAGTAATTTTTACAAAACTGTTTCATATTCTTCTTGTACCATGTTGTCAACAAAATGATTTCTGTTGTGTGATCTAACAACCAAATAACGTCCTTTTAATGGCAAAATTATATAAGGCAATCTCATGTTAACATATGATATACAATCGGAGTGGTGTGAATTCCGTATTTTCAAAATCAAAAAAAAAATTCAAAAAAAAATTTTGCTTTAGCTTCTACATATTTCGTTCGATTTGGTGAATTAGGAAAATCTTATTATTAAACATTAGAGGAATGAAACAACGAATGAATTAGGAGTCAAAACAAACCACTGGAGAAGCGGTGAAAAACATTCTGAGTTTTTATGTGAAAAAAATAATTTTGTTAATTTTTGCACAATGCCGGAGTAAAGAATACAATACGGAAAAAAAAATACGCCGGAGAAAATTCAGAGATACTTCGGACCCCTTGTAGCAAGTTTAGTTTTAAATTATAAATAAGTCCCTGCGCTAGGTAACTCTGTGAAAAATAAAAATTTTCTTAAATCGTGCAATAAGGAAGTCGAACAGCTTCAGAAAACCGCCCATAACGTGTTATACAAAGTTAAATATTTTTATAAAGTTTGAATTTGCCGAAATGCATACGCATTTATTTAAGTACGGCCCATATGCCCAAAAGGGGTGTTCGGTATTCGGTAGCCGGTAATTATATTTTGTACAGAATATAGAGAGATAGTAAAAGATTATTGTATTTTACTTTTACCTAATGAATTGTGACGGGAAGTTAACCTAGCCGCTTTGGTCTACGGAGTTTTCGCTCCAATTGCAAGGGACTGTAAATACATAGCAGTCAGAATTTACTGATAGTACAAAGTGATTTTGTCTAAAGATGGGTCAACAAGTCTCTCGGACGGATTTCGAGTGGGTATATACCGAGGAGCCGCACGCATCACGTCGAAAAATAATTCTTGAAAAATACCCACAAATAAAAAAACTTTATGGCTGTGATCCGAAGTTTAAGTGGATTGCTGGAGGCATGGTATTGATACAGATACTGTCATTGTTTATCGTGAAAGACCTTTCCTGGCCGATGTTACTTGTGACAGCATATTGCTTCGGGGGTGTAATCAACCACTCTCTCATGCTTGCTGTACACGAAATTTCCCACAACTTGGCCTTTGGATTTAGCCGGCCCATGTATAATCGTATATTAGGATTTATTTGTAATCTACCAATTGGACTGCCCATGTCCATATCATTTCGAAAGTACCATTTGGAGCATCACAGGTAATTAGATAAAAATTATTGAAAGGGCGTTGCCAAAGCTTACTACGGGTATATAAGGGATAGATGGTATATGATCTATGTGCATTTTAGTTGATAAGCACAATCGGCCGATTTGTATGATATTGCCCCCACTCGAACTGAAGTAATCATTTTAAATACATCTTTTTCGGACATTTTATTGATAGGTGTTTTGCCAACTCCCACACATAAGAAAGATCAAAAATTCACACGTATGACGTCATCTATTTCTTTCGATGCACTTTTAAATAAAACCGTTCTTAGTAGAATTATTTATTCTCAACTCTAAATTATATAAAATTGTTTAAAATGCAGACGATTGAAATCTTATCTATACTAGCTGGAATGAATCGTAAATCGACTACCTTGTTGATTGCGCGATATAATTAGTCACAAGAAAAACAATATCACGTACACAATGTGTACAATGAGCGTCAAAAAGACGCAATTGTTTCACGCTTAATCTATGAGAGGTGGCGTCCTATCGCGCCATTTAACAATATGTGAATATATTGTATAAGATACCACGTGAGATGTAGAAAAATATTTAATTAAAAATTCGCATAAACGTTGTTGTTTTAATTTGAATACCTTGCACACAAAGCTTTACTTTAATTCCATTGTACTTTGTCAGAATCATTGTTGACGCTTCGTGTATAAACATACTCCATTCTAAACATTATTGTATTTAAAAAATACAAGTGACATTAATTAGAATAGTACTAAGATAAGTAGTGATGAATAGTCAGCTAATATTATTATATCGATGATGGGTAATATTGATAAATATATATTTTCTAATGGAAGGTGATTTTAAGTAACATTGGGTATCGATAAGATTTGCTGTTTAAAATTTTGACACATTGAAACTAATCCCCCTACACTTTTATACATTTGCAGATATCAAGGAAATGAGGTAGTCGACACGGATATCCCAACTTTGGTGGAAGCAAAACTATTCGATACCACCTTCGGAAAGTTTTTATGGGTTTGTCTGCAGCCGTTCTTTTATATATTCCGACCTCTTATTATAAACCCGAAACCGCCAACGCGGCTGGAAATAGTTAATACTGTTATACAGCTAATATTTAACGCTTTGGTTGTCTACTACTTCGGATGGAAGGCTATGGCATATCTTGTCTTAGGCTCGATTCTGGCCATGGGATTGCACCCAGTAGCCGGACACTTTATATCCGAACATTATATGTTTGCCAAAGGCTTTGAAACATATTCCTATTACGGTCCTCTCAACTGGATAACTTTCAATGTTGGTTATCACAATGAACACCACGATTTTCCCGCTGTTCCCGGGTCACGGCTGCCGGAGGTTAAGAAAATTGCCCCCGAATTCTACGACACCATGCCACAGCACACCAGTTGGGTGCGTGTGTTGTACGATTTTATTATGGATCCTTCTATTGGGCCATATGCAAGAGTAAAACGTCACCAAACAGGCCTCAGAACGTAAAACTAAATATTATTTGCATAAATTATATTTTAGCACGTAAGCGAAAAGGTAAAAAATCTCAACATATTTTTACAACACATGTGCTATTATTTTACCGTCAATAAATTGAATCCACACCAAAATAAGGTTGCCGGAAAATACCTTAAACTTAACGCAACATGTATTTCTGTACAGAATTAAAAACTTGATAATTGTTCCTATTTTATTCAATATGCAAAAAAAAACTATTGTTTTCATTGTACTGCATTTGAATGAATCGGAAGAAACGCTTAATATATACATTAAATTTCTATTTATAACGCAGAAACAATGTACCTCAAAATAAATGTATGAAATAATATATGTACGTGCATATGAATAAAACCCAATAAAAATCTTAATATAAGTATGTATTTTGAAACGATTTATTTTTTATTACATTACAGTTATAAGGAACAACACTTTCGCATCGATATCGAAAATATTTCGCTCGAAATGAAATTTTAAAATGTACATTTCGGCCTGAATAAATTGAAAAAATCGAGAATACGCATGCAAAAATAAATTTAATTAATTAATTAATTAATCGAAAAAAAAAAAAATAATCCCTATGTGGATTAATGAAAACTAAAATTCTAATAGAAACTATAGGTGTTCGATGCTTAGTTGTGCATTTCATTTTAGGTTATAGTTCGATTTCGTGATAAGTGTTTTTGTTGTTTACTACCACATTGAATTTTGTTTTAAACTTGTCTAAAACAAAAATATTAATATTTTCTATACATGCACTATAGGGCTTTCATTGCATGTCTCTAATTCGTATTAATTATATATGTACTACATATATAAATATACGTAAATATTTTTTCTATATGTAAACTTTTTGATTTTCATATGAGCAATTACTTTGTACATTTCAGCGGTGCCTAAAGATCCATGTATTCAGTCGACAATTTTCAGCATACAAGTTAAACACATGTATTTATATGAATATTACCGAAATACGTCGAACGTACGCAATTTCAAAGTTGATCAATTGAACAATTTATTATTTTGCCTTGAAAATAAAAATTAATAACTCAAAAAAAGTAAATGTTATTGAAAAATGTAAAAATTGAATTAAAATTAAAAAATACAGCGTTATTTGTTTTGTTGCAAACTTCTTTCGTATTTTGCAGTTTAGAAATATAGAAAGTTAATGGAACTTCAGAGTTTCATACCTCATAACAACATTATTCAAACCAATACGCACATAACCATGGTACAATAAGGAGGTAAAACAGCTTTGTAAATCTACAGAAATACAGGTATGAGGCTATGCTCGCTTCCTGTCAGACTCATTTAAAATTATATACAACATTCCTAAAGTAAGTTAAACAGCGCGAAAAATGAATGAAATGACCGGATTTTCTCTCAAAAATATGATCCAAACTTTGCAATCTTTAAATTTCAATGCTAAACTGGTTAATAGCTTTAATGCGCGAGCCGCAATGTTTGATGCTCTTATGATGATGCTCTGTTCCAGAACCTGCAAGATTCTAATAGTTTTGCAATTTTTTTCGATATTATAAAGAAAAAATGGTTATCGTAGTAAATGCTTTTACATTCTTGCAGTTCTGTGTATTGTGTATTGGTTTGAAAGATATTCAAAATATTTCCAAATTCTGTTGAAATTAAAATTCAAACTTAGAACTTTTGGGAGGAATTAGTAGGATAAAAAAACATAGTCCTCCTCGATATTGTGTCAAATAAATAAAAGAGCATGTTGTATGTGTTGTTAGCAAGAGTGAAGTTAAAAGACTCTTAAGTGAACATAGCAAAAAATGAATGGGATCGACCACAATTCGGTTAAAATTATTTTTCATCCCAAAACGCAACAGTATAGTCTCCGCAAAAGCTGCAAATATGAATTAAAATGGAAAGATTGAACGGTTTGGATCATATTTTTGAGAGACAATCCATGAATTTCATTCATTTTTGCGCTATTTAACTCATTTTAAAAATGAGAAAAAATATGAAAAAAACTTTTTGTATATTATTTTGAATGAGTCTGACAGAAGGCGGACATAGCCTCAGGGCTGTATTTCTGTTATTTTACGAAGCTGTTCTACCTCCTTATTGTACCATGTATTCAGATGATTGCAATGCACTTCCCATGGTAGAATAAGAAGGCAAAGTCATGCAACCATATTTATACAATTTTTTCAAAATTATTTGTTTGGTAACACTTCATTGAACATTCATGGCACAATTACAGAGGATGAAACAAAGCTACCCCCTAAATACAACTCTTTCTTTCGGTACCCTTATTCTGTCAAAGTTGAGCAACCTTTCTTATTGAGCCATGGGAACATGTAATAAAATGTGACAAGATACAGATAACAGAAAATACAGAGATGCATTGCTTATTTCAAATGGCTATGCCTTCTTAATTTTACCATGACACTATCTTTGATATTATTATACATGGGTACAGGTTATTTAATTGTCAAAATCAAAGTTCTTATGTAGACCAAATTCGAAAAACTCAACTTCAAGCAAGAAGGTAACATTGAGCAATCAATCGTCTATTCGAGTTGCGTCCCTTTCCAAAAACCAGAAAATTCCATTTGCGTCGTTGCAATTTCAAGTTTCGTCGGTCCGAGCTACATTGTGGATTATTTTTTTTGCATTTGCAGTGCCATATTTAGCATTTTTACAACTTCTGACAACACTGATCGTCATCTGTACGTTAACAAATTTTCAAGTTGCGTGAAATAAGGGGAATTCCCTTTCCTTTATGAATTTAATTTTTGTTTTGTTTTTTCTTAATGTATTGTTTTGTTATTTCTTTATAATAATTATAAACATTTTTTGAAGTAAATGGAATAAATAAAAATGTATTCATAATTGTTTTTTTTTTTTTTTTTTTTTTTTTTTTTTATCAAAAATGTAGAATGTTTTGCTTTGTTTTAAATATTTTTATTTTAGTGCATTTTGTATATGTACAGAAATAGGTGATTCGATTTGCGTCGCGATTCTCCGGTCCCAACGACGCAAGTCGGGGCTTAAGAGATTGATATGGAATCATTAAAGTTAAATATTTTAAGAACTATTCTTCTGCATTTTAAATTTAATAATGCCAGTTCCATTTATTGTATGTTGTTGTGTTACGTTTGTTGTACAGCAAAACTTGCTGTTACCCGTTTTATTTTACCATGCGTGCGTAAATACACAAATCAGAAATGCATAGACTCAAATTTTGTACTATGAAAACGTCAAGCTATGGTACAATCAAATTAAGATAGGGCACAGCTTCCATTCGGTTTGGACTCCATTTCATTGATTTTATTCTACTCCATTTTATTTTAAAAAGAAATCTTGACAATCATATGAAAATTGTCCACAAAATTCAAACTCAGTTGTAACAATTCTAATTCTAAGACACCCTTTTTGCGACGAAATATATCTTAAGACATACGGACAGAATATGATTAAAAAGCTCTACATTTTGTTTAGTATTAGCGTTTTGTTTAATAAACAAAACAACTTGTTGCATTTGCTTTGATAGTCGTTCTGACATTCACATCCATACAACCAGGCCTCTTATTTTACTAATTTCTATAACTTGTCCTACTGTGTCTTCATTGTAACATGTGTGAAACGAACTTTTGCAGGGTTGCCTAAAATTCGAAGTTTTTTACGGCCGCTTAACCCAATTATCTATGTCTTCAAAACAACCAAAGACAAGGAAGTACACGGGTTACGGGTTACATAATTTTACTTTTTGGGCAAATAGTTATTCATTTTCGTATACCTACCTCACCTCAAGATTTTAATATTTCTCATCATGAAATAAATGTGAAAACTTGTAGTCTTTTATTCCTTCAATTATATAAAGTTTTGGGTTTTGGAATTTTCCCTTAGTTTTTATTTCTTTACAATTTATATCCAGCTTATTGATGGTGTTATATAGTATGTGGCTGGTTTCAAATTTGTTTAAAATATTTTATTACTTGTATTTAAATATTTTGTTGCTGCTTTTGACGACGTTTGATGGAAAGCAATCAAGTTTACCTTTAAATTAGATCAGCAATATTAGCGGGCATTTCTTCAATAGTTGTATGATAAAATTGTTCAATATCTTTAAGGATTCTGCGGTCTTCATCTGTAATGAAATTGATGGCTACGCCTTTACGACCGAAACGGCCACCGCGACCAATTCTGTTAAAAAGTAAAAAAAAAAAATATAGATAACAATACAGACTCAAATTTAACACCACAGTTCAAATACCTATGAATGTAATTTTCTCTATTTGAAGGTAAGTCATAGTTAATAACCAATGACACCTGTTGCACATCAATGCCACGAGCCAACAAATCGGTCGTAATAAGGACACGGGACGAACCAGAACGGAACTGCTTCATAATCAATTCGCGATCCCTTTGTTCCATGTCACCATGCATAGCAGAGACAGTGAAGTTGTGGGAGGTCATCTCTTCAGTCAATTGATCGACCTTTATAAAACATACGAAAAGGTGTTTAAAAATAGTTTCTACATATTTGGGAATCATTATCATTGAATTTACAGGTTGTGAATCCATTTAATAATATATTGTTCGGTATTGAATCATGTTTACACATACCTTGCGTCTAGTGTTGCAGAATATTACTGATTGAGTAATAGAAAGGGTGTCGTATAAATCACACAAAGTTCCCAGCTTCCAGTTCTCCTGTTTGACATTGACGTAAAACTGTTTGATACCTTCAAGTGTCAGTTCTTCCTTCTTAACCAAAATGCTAACAGGGTCACGCATGAAGCAGCGGCTTACTTCCAATACATCTGGAGGCATGGTAGCCGACAGTAGAATAACTTGGACGTCGTTGGGAAGCATCTTGAAGACATCTTGGATTTGATCCTTGAAACCCCGGGACAACATCTCGTCAGCTTCATCCAAAACGAACAGCTTAATGCTACTTGTCCGCAAAACCTTGCGATTAATCATGTCGTACACACGTCCAGGAGTGCCGACTACTACATGGCATCCAGACTCCAAGTTCCGTGCGTCTTCACGGACATTTGTGCCGCCAATACAAGCATGGGAATGAACTTTCATGTATTCGCCGAGTGCCATAACAACCCTTTGAATTTGGGTTGCCAATTCACGAGTTGGTGCCAAAATCAAAGCCTGGCAATCACGAATGGACGTATCGATTTGTTGCAAGATGGCAATGGAGAAGGTTGCGGTTTTGCCGGTACCTTTTTAAATATTACAATTTTATTAACCAATCGTCTATTTAATGTAAACGCCACAGTTTAAATAAACCTTTAAGGCTTCTACTTACCCGACTGAGCTTGAGCGATGACATCCCTACCCTTGACACAGGGAATAATGGCGCGTTGCTGGATAGCGGATGGTTTTTCAAAACCGTAACCATAAATACCACGCAAAAGTTCTTCGCGCAAATTCATATCATCAAAGTTGTCGTAAACCTCATGCCAAGTGGACTCAATGACGCCCTCGGGTTCCATACCAGCGGGTCCTTCGTTAACATCACTTCGATCATCCCTATAAAAGAACAAAAAAAAAGAACACATACACATTTAATCGACTCTGGCTACACAATTTTCTTAGGGTTTTTACATTGTCAACTAAATTCAAGTTTATTTTGCAATTCTCGGCTGTATGATAAATTTTGCTTTGCACTTTGGAAGTCGTTTTTAATTTTTCTGGTGGCTAAAACTGTATTAACTATTTGTTTGCTATTTCTAATTTTTTTTCTTTCACAAGCCACCAAACCACCGCTGAATGTGTGTGCACTTTTTCCGAATTGTAAATGAAATATGAACACTCATTTACTTTTTTTCTCCCCTTTGTGCCTTTTGCCATTTTTCGGTTTCTGAGTCATTAAGCAAAAGAGAAATATGAAAACAACAACAAAAACTATTTGTTCCAGCCGCCGCATTCGCAATAAAATTCAGCGTATGTTTCAGCGCAAAGGCTGTGGTGGTGGTTGTTTTGCTGACAAGCAACAACAACGACCTAGGAAAGAGAGATCAAAGGGAAAAGTGAAAACAACAGAGTTGTATTTTGGAAAATTGTGCTGCAAAGAGGGGGAAAATTCACGGAGCATTGCAAGGGAAAATATACAAAAAATCCTTGCTTTGCAAACGTTTCTATATAGAAAGCACCCAACGAGACTCTATAACAGATGAATTTCTAAGTGTCTCAGCTAACATCGCTTCCCCCACCCGTTCACATTCCAAGTTGTGAAAACACGGGCGTGGTTAAATATCTTGATTTTTAAGTCAATTTTTTGGGACCATACAACAATGCGTTAACGGAAAGAAAAAAATTACTCATTAACATATAACTCATTCACGTATGCATTGGTGGTTTCGTGATGTATTCGTTTTTCATTTGCTATACTTGCCGAACCACAACTCAACGAAACATTTTCTTTTTAAATATTTAGCACTTTGTTTACACATATACACCTAAATTCAACACTCCCGAACGCAGAATTTTTTCCTCTATAGATTGTCAACGATAATTATAATCAAACAAATCAAATATACTAACATTTTTGGAAAATAATTTGGCACTTTTACACACGTGCGATTTCTTTTGTTAAAATCAAGCGAAAGGGCTCCATCTTGCTGAATTTCTGAATTCTTGCTCTTTTCTTTTCGCAACTGAAATGCAACCAACTTTACTGTATACTTCCGGAATGCAACTCTGTTGTAAAAAAATATGGCAACGAAGTGTAACGTTTTGCAGACGTTAAATAAATAACAAATCAAGTGTAAATCATTTGATCTGTTACAGAACTACAAGAATATAAATGTTTTTACTACGATAACCGATTTTCACTTTGTGAGGTCGAAGAAAATTGCAATAATCTACTAGTATTGCAAGCTCTGGAACAAACCAATTGTTATTAATCGAAACTAGCGATTCTTATTGAAATTTCAAATGTAATTTTATTTTATATGTGTTCTTTTTACCCATGTTTTTTTGTTTTGCATTTCCACTCCCGGATGAGGTAAGGTGAGAATACAAAAAACGCTTTTTCGAATTGCTCCAGTCATCGATATCGGCAAGTATAAATAATGCACTGAAATTGAACTAATTCAATCTTTTTGTTTTAGGAAGGAGCCAGCCGATGACTTAAGTCAGTCAAAAAAAGCGTTTTATATAGTTTACTGTTAAGTCATCGGCTGGCTTCTTCGTAAATCAACAAAGGAGTTTTTAATTGTCTTAGTACAATTTCGGCCTATAATTTATACTTGCTCTCCCTACGCTCTTTTGTTCTTTTACAAAGAAGAAAGTCTCATTTATGCTATTGCAAACGCATAGAGAGTTGTTTTACTGGCTTAAGTTGTCGGCTGGCTTCTTCGTTACAGAACAATGTAGTTTTGGATTGACTTAGTTCAATTTCGCCCCGTAATTTAAACTTGTTCACCCTACGCTCTTTTTTTTCTTTTACGAAGAAGCCAGCCGATGCCACTAAAAAAACTTATTCTGTGTTCTTGTGTTTACCATTGAATTGAAATATAGAACAATGAAAACTTATACAAATAGATACTTTTGCAATTGTTTTTACATTTTTTGGGGGCGCCTACGTCAGTCAATTGTCCCGTCTTTGATAGACTCAGGGAAGCTAAAAATCGTGTAAAATTAAATAAACGTTTTTCACAATTTAAGTCTTATGCCAGACTATGAAAATTTTCATTAATGTGAAAATGAGTTTATAGGCAAGAGTTATGAAGGGGGTGAAACCATGGTACAATGAAGAGAAGGTAGGTCAACTTTGAAAAAATTGCAAGTATAGAGGTCTACCTGTTTGGCTTGTAATGTCAGAATTACTATCAAAACAATAAAAAAGTAAACAACTTGTTGCATTGATTTTGAATAAATAATTAAAAAACGGCGAAAACTGAATGAATGGTCAAAATTTATTTTCAATATCATGTTCTATATATCTCTTATGGTTTATTTCGCGACAAAAACTGTAGATTTTGTCGATGCATTCCTTGCAATAAGCATTTTGAAAACACCCGAATTTGAATATTTTCTGAACAATTTTTTATTATTGAAAAGAAGACACACACATAAGCAAATGAAGTTTACATTTTAAGCCAGAAAAATAAAAAAATTTAAATCATATGGTAGTTCTACCCTACCTTGAATTCATTGTACCATGGGTGAAACTATGTACACAACCTTCTGTAATCTGAAATTATTCTTTGTGCTTAAATTCGTAACTCTCAAATCAAGATAGCTGCACGTCATTTCTTTGATTCCTGTTCATTTTAATAGAAAATATCAACAATTTTCATATGAAAAAAATTTGTGTGTATACGTCGATAAAAATTTAGATGAAAATAAGAAAACATTGAAAATTTTCATAGTCTGGCAGCAAGTTCAAAACATGGTAGAAGAATACAGGTAGTTGCATCGACCCAGCTGCTAGAACAATTAACTGTCAAACCAATTTTGGAATTGAAATTGTTGAATGAAAAATTATTTAAATTTGTAAAAATTGTTAGAAAACGCAAATTATAATAGCCTCCGAATGACGTAACATAAGAAAGCATATAAAAATCTACTTATATTTGAAAAAAAAAACATTTAAATTTGTTGACATATTAATGCTCCCAAGCGTTGATGTATCTACCTGTATTCTTCTGCCATGATTCAAAAGTAATAATAAATTCGTGCCCATTTACATGGGCGAAGTTAATCTGTTTTTGTAGGAGAAAGAAAGTTTAAGAAATGTTCCTTAAACTTGTGCATAAATGCAAGTCCAAAAGCGATAAGCGACACAGCGATTGGAAACGAGTTGTCGCTTTTATGTTATTTCCCAAAGTGAATGTTATCATTTCAAGGTGAATTAACGGCAGCATTTATCTTAATTCCGTTTTAAATTCTCTCTTGCTGGCTGGCAGTACTTATCAAGGCTCCGCTATGAACTTCTTTTTTGCTTGGCAGCACTTACTCAATCGGTCACTTTCTCAATTGTAGTCAGTCATTTATTTGCGTTCGTCGTGTAGAAGACATTAAATTGGAGTTAAAAGCATTTTTAAATTAAAAAAGGAGTGAAATTGTGGACGAATATTGTATCCCGTGCTGTGCCATTTCTGGAAAGGAGAAAAAATGTAAGTTTTGATTTATTTTATGACATTTAGGTTAGATGGAATTAAAATCGGTTACTGATCAGAAAGAATAAATGAGACAAAGAGAAATTCGCAAACGTCTTTGCAATTGTTATACACATACTTTGTGCAATATGTTCTGTGTGTGTATTCGCAAACACATTCGCGTCACAGAAAAGGAAAAATGTTAAATGTTTGGTGGCAGCCAATTCTTAAAAGTATTATATGGAGGTAAAAGTTATTCGTGAAAATTCTGGTGTAGTTTTTATCCTTAGATCCCTCTGAATCATCCATTTCAAATTTTAAACTCTGATTCATGTCGACTGTCGGCCGTGTTGAGTCACGCAACGTCGGAGAAACAACCGGACAAAGAGAATCCGAGAATCCATTGAGTGAATGAAGTGTTGAGTAGATAAAAAAGAGTGTGGAAAAAGCGCTCCATGTTGAACATGTCATTTTCACATATTCGTTTTCAGTTGCTTGAGTGGAACTGGTGTGTGCGGCAGTCTGGAAAAGTTTTCGGCTAGTTTTTGTTTTTGCAGAATTTGCTGATTAATAGTTGGATAGCGGCTGCGTTGGCATTGCACAAAAGAAAGTAAAAAGGTCCGATTTTTTTGAGAATTCTTTGTTTCTTGACAATATGCCGATATATTATCTGCTTTCAACCGATTTGATATACTTATTTATTTATTCTTTTTATTAATTTTTGCAGTTAGTATATTTGCTGTATTATAAGTGTTGACGCGTAGTTTTCCTGTTTTCAAGTGAAGTTAACCGCTAAAAATCAAATATGAGCTGGCAAGATTATGTTGACAACCAATTGATGGCCTCGCAATGCGTCACCAAAGCCTGCATCGCCGGACACGACGGAAATGTTTGGGCATCTTCCAAAGGTTTTGAGGTAAGTACCCATATTTAGTGAGTAAGAAGGCTACATGGGCGTGACTCCTTAATACACATTTTTTAGAGTCGATGTTCATTCTTATAATTGAAGACAGTACAAAAATAATTGCTCCGTATATGTCATTCCTGGTTCAATACAAAGGATTGCAATACGACAATTCAAATTTGGTATTAAAAAGGAGAAACTTATTTAAAGCAAACGCCCTTCACGCACGACACACACCACCTTCAACAAAAATCCTCACCATACGTGCCACCACCAATAGTTAGCTATAGCTATCATTGTATATTTTACTCCCTACTTTTACATTTCCTTTCTTAACGATGGCGACAAACTTCAGTGGAGGGGGACTTATGGCGCTTTATGAGACAGGAAGACATAAGTCTTTTTACGATTTTTCGACGTCAGGAGAATTTTAATTTCGTTTTTCCTACTTAAAATAGGCATCGCCAATGATAAGGAGAAGAGGGCGGTGCCCCCTATATCACAATCCATTGTCGAAAATAATACAATTCAGGCATTATTTCCTGTTAGGGCAGGCTATTGCCGTAATCAGAATAAGACGTCTCTTGTCCAAGCAACGAAAGAGGAACATACAAGTAATATGTATGTATGTATGTACATTTATATAAAAACCGAGTGCGCATTTTCCTTTACTTTTGTAATATTTAAAAAGATGTATTTATTCTTCACAAGTAATTGGATGAATGGTTTTACGACAGACAGACAGCATATAGAATTGAACATATTTCCAACATGTGTTGAGATTATTTTTCAAAATTTGACTGTGCGTTGGTCACGATCCCACAAGGAGTATATATTTGACATTGGGAAATCTTCATAGGGGACATGAAAAATCCAAAATGGAAGAGTAGAAATGAAAATAAATTTGTGTTGCATGCAGTACCGCCGCATATCCCTTAAACACACTGAATCATATGTTGTGTGATTCATATCTCAAATCTGACCACATCCACTTATTTTAAAAACATTGCTAATATAAACAAGAGCACAGCAGCTGCAACACTTGGAGAAGTGTATTTTTAGATTATCTGTGCCATCCGACGAGCGGACAAGTCAGTGACAGAATAAAATATATTAACAACTGAATGAAGTTCGATATAATTATTTATCAACATTTTGTTGAGCATATAATCATAGCGAAGAATGAATAGTAAATACTACTTACGACGATTACATTAACGCAACATACTTTATGGAGGCAATACAGTCTACTTTGACATTCATGTTTTTAAAACACACAACCCCCACATACCTATTTTTATCAAGGCTGCCGCTGAGCGTTGAAAAAAGTACGCGCGACCGACCGGTCGTTTGCCAAATTTTTGGTGTCGTGAATGGAAAATATTATTTTTTTCTTCCGATATATGTATGCAAAATGATTGAAAATTTTGCACTTTGTGGTAAATTTTATACACATACAATATATATGTATAGATTGGCTGGCTATGCACAGCACACTTTCACACGCCCATTGTATATTCATAACGCTCAACCGGCATCGTGTATATTTTTCTTCTTATCTATCTTCTGCGTGTTCTCTGCCTCTTTCGTTTTTGCAATCTTTTTATCCATATTCTACACTCGGCACGCTCTCTGTATTCCATTTTATGTATTCCATTTTTAACTTCTTCGGTTGGTATATATGGCAAATTGGTATTGAGTGAGAGTCCGCTGATACCAGACGTTTTGTTTTGTATTGCCAAAAACCGGCTGGTTGTGTCAAAATGGCCGCCTTAGTTACAGATAGGGGAGAAAGAGGCCAAAGGTAATACTTGAGTGAAACTGTGGAAACTGAGTGGTTTTGAATGCAAGTTCAACTGTCTGCTTGTTTAACTTGTTAACGTCTCGCTCGCAATCTTCTCGGTTGTATTTTTTGTAGTATTGAGTGACATTGAAATTTTCGCAAAGGAAAACAAAACTGTCAGTTAAGGGTGGTAGTGAGGTGGTGGATTGCCACACACACACGCACTCACACATGTACTTATGTTACTATCGCTGTTTTTGTTAACGGGTAGGTAGAATGTGGGTAGGTGGTGGGTGGGGTGTGTGTTCGTATACTTTATAGAAATGTTTATATACATTTTTGAGTGTCAATGGACTTTTTAATAAAAAAATTATATATATATATTTGCAGGTAACAAAGGATGAACTCTCTAAACTCATTTCTGGCTTTGAAAATCAGGACCTCTTAACCAGCAATGGTGTTACACTGGCCGGCCAAAGATATATCTACTTATCCGGTACAGATCGTGTAGTCCGCGCCAAGTTTGGACGTAGTGGAGTTCATTGCATGAAAACTACCCAAGGTTAGTATATCGACACAGAATCGGTGTAAATGGTTTTGAGGAAAAAAATAAATATGAAACGTAGACGTTTGTGTATTAGTTTTGTATCAGTGGATGCTGTTGTCGCAAACATTTCTATTTATAGTCATTGTTTTTGAGTATGAAATCAACATTAAATTTGTATAGAAAAATGCATGAATGATGTAGGCCAATTATTTGAGATGCTACATTTTTAGAAATACAACAAAGTGAATTACAAGTTTCTGTATAACAACACTTGTACTTTTTTGCTTGCAGCCGTGATTGTTTCCATCTATGAGGACCCCGTTCAACCACAACAGGCCGCATCCGTCGTAGAGAAACTTGGAGATTATCTCATCACCTGTGGGTACTAGAAAATAATAAAAAACACTATACATAACACATAAAAGTAATTATAATATTAATAAACGAAAAATATCATAAAATTATTATTTGATAAACACTTTTGGAATTTTCATACAAAAGAATAAATATATAAAAAATAAAATACATCTTATAATACTAAATTTAATGTGTTGACAAATGAAATCAGGGCAAACCCGTAGGCAATGGCCGAATTTCATAGAATCTCGGCTAACAACAAAAATGTCAATTGTGAAATTTTAAAAATTTGTCAACTGATCTCAAAGATATAAAGGAAATATGAGACGTCGTGGGGTAAAGACACGAAACTTATGATTTGAAGCAAGACAACAATCAGTTCAGGCTAAACCGTCAGAATGAGTATTACCAATTTCGAAGTAACAAAATTTATATTTATTTTTTACATGTCAATATCGTCTCCCATGAACATTAAAAATTCTCGAAACCAAATTCTTGGAGAAATCTTAGTCACTACTATTAACCAAAAGATATATATTCGTGAGACAAAACCAACAATTAATAACCCAGTACATATGTATTCTCACGTTAAGGTAAATGAAATGGATTTGTATTCTAATTCGTGCCAATATAGGTTTTAATACGTTGGGATACATTAAGTTACAAGCGATCTTAAAATTCAGTTAATCTGAGTATGGCCCGCAATGTGTCCTTGAAGATAGGAGCTAATATTATTTTTAATTTAATTTGTTTATGTAAAGACTAGCCACTGCAATTTAATATTTAACCAGTTATAGAATTATATAAAAAGAAAGTATTAGTACTTCTGAATACACTTCAATTAATTGTTGTAAGTTAATTTATTTTTCGTGAAAGAATATCCTCGACCTATTCTATTCCAACCAAAAATGTATACAAAGACGTAATCCAATCATCAGTTCGTATCCGTCGCTTGATAGTTTTTATTAGAATAACTCGATTATAACATTTTATGAATGGAATATATTTTCACTACCCTTTCAAGTAGTGCATACACTGGCGAACATTGACACAATGTATTATAGCTTTTAAGATCTCAAATGTAAAATTATAGCCACTTATGATGGCAAACTTAGGCCATCAACCATCAACCTTGATTGGTTGAGCATTGTTGCTGAAGGCTTCAAAATGCCGAAAATTGGAAAGAACCGCTATATGAGGAACTATATGCATTGGAAGGCTCTCTTATCCATGAACCTACATCATGAAAAATCCCTATTGATTTCAACCGAGTTGGACATTGCTAAGACGTCACTACATTGATTATTCGTATCGTATTCGTGTTTTAGTGTTAAAGTTTAAAAAAAAAACATTTCTTATTGTACAAAGTTAACTGCGAAAAATAGGTAACAATTTCTTAAATTTACATGTATCGAGGATCATGCAAAATACCTTCGGGATTTTGAGCAGATCATCCCAATTGTATCGCATGTAGTGAATATGCTTAGAGGGCCAGAATATTTTAGTCGAATCCGTCCGAACCACATCTCAATCTAATCATACTGACAATAAAAATGAAGAACCATTGCATGTATAATACAGCAGCGATGTAACATTTCTGGTATATGTCAAATATATACCTTGCTTATTATTAAATCGATATCATCAAATTACAGACTGGTAATAGCTCCGTATGATATATATAGGCAAATATACTATGAAATCAAATATAATACTATACCAGCACTACATTACTCGTCTTTTTAGATGGCTGAAACTCTACTGATAGAACGATTTAACCCACATATGAGTCTTAGTTATGGTACTGGGAGGTCTTCATTTCAATGCGAATGTGATAAACCCATAATCTCCGCTCCTAGAGCTATGCTTAACAAAAATGCAGAAAGCGAAACTCAACCAACAATTCCCAAGGAAGAGTCGAAGAATTCAACCAAAAAACAAAAAGAAAAACAGAGAGGAACAACATCTAAACAGTTCAAAACCATGATGTATGCAGCAAAGGTGCACTCTAAAATGACTTAATGAAATTAATTGTAGACGGCAGAGTGGGTGTGTGTTATTCCATTTTTGCATGTCGCAGGAAACTCGAAGCTAACACTATCAACAACACCCCAATTGAAATTTAAGGATTACACCCTTAATATCAATCTTATTGTTATTATTATGAATAGCTCAATCCATACATTTTACACTAGCCCAGCAAATTTCCTAGAGCGTTTTTTACAACTACAGTTATTTGTTTAAATATGAATTTGCATGTATGTATACAATTAAAAAAAAAAAATACTTGCATTGATGGTGACCTAAATATTTCGAATAAAGTTGCTTACTACCAATTATGATGAGTTGACATTCCGCATAATTAGCCATATTAACCATTGGCATTTCCACGTATCAGTTTTATTACGATTTGCAAAGTGTTTAGTTGATTTTTGGTACTGATAACATTTGTCATGAAATTTTGTTGGGGAAATATATCCTTAGCATGGCATAGCCTTGCATGTGTTCTACTGGGAATAAGGATTGCTAGTTCTTCGGATTTAATACAATTCGGGACTTCTTCAGATCAAGTTAACCCTGCCGAGTATTATGCGTTGGCAGATGGCCAATATCCAAATGTTGGACCAACGGAGGAGCTTAAGCGCACCCAAAGGTCGTTTTGGACCGACTTGTTTAGTCGAGGCATTTTTGCTGACAGGGAATGTACTGCCAACTGTAGGATCGATGCTGGTGACGGGTCAACACCTAATGATTTTCCACAGCCCTTTCAACCGTTTCCACAACTACCACCCTGGCGTCCTTTTCAGCCATTATTTGGTGGAAACTGTCAGAGATGTGTTTGCCCGGAGTGCGAAGTTAGCTTTGCCGGCAATCCAGCCAATTCATATAATAGTGATAATAACAACTATGGTGACGGTACATCAGTTTATCGTCCAAGCGATGAAAGCGAAAAAAATACTGCGAACCATCCCATTAGCAACAACTATGTTCCCACACAAGAGGAAAAAGAATCTTACAGTATCACAACACAGCCTACTGACTCGGGAAACCTTACTGAAAATACTACTCAGCAAGTTCAGTATGAAAGCAATGGAGATTCAGCCGAAGACCATTATACTAAGAACTCGCTGCCAGGTGAACAAAGTGATGAACCGGGAGACATTTCAAAGTCTAAAGTTCCTCAGATATTGTATCAACCTATTATTTATGTTACATCGCAGTTCCAAGAACATGCTAAAAACCTTATTGGCCCAAAATCAGTTACCCTCGGTGTTTTGCCACCACCACCACAATCAAATAACGTTGGAGGGGCGTCCCTACCTGAATATGACACAGTTACAACACCAGTTCAAGCGGATTTTAAACAAAGTTTAGTGCCGTTGACGTCGTACTCTGAAGACAGCAACTGCAACGAAGCAGTATCGACCAATGCAGGTGAACACTGCCAAGGATTCCATTACGCCCACCCTCAATATCCCAGCATTCCTTCTGTTTCGACTTTGTACGCAGTAATATCTCCGCAGCAAACTGCTGTACATACGATCGATTGCAATCGATTATACCACAATGAAGATAACGCTGGCCCTGCTAAGTATTCACTTGCAACGAATTTCTACGACAATAATCAAAGACATCACCCAGTTCCACCGATTACACTCACATGTGATGATCAACCGTATCGGGTGTGCCCGGAACTTTTCGAGGACTACAATCGTCAACTGAACAAACATAATTCCTGGACAATGGCTTCTTCTGCCTACCCGTGTAATCCCAAAAATACATTTATAAACGCTCAATTGATAAGTTACTGAATGTATTTACACATAGTTCACTATCCTGCAATTAAATAAAGACACATCCACAATATAGAATATTTAAAGCATGTTAAGAATTTATTTTTTGCAGTTCGTTTTCAGAGAATTCTATTGCTATTTTCGATAATAAATAAATATTTTATGCATTTTAAGGTACCAGTTAATTACATTTTTTCTGGTTAAAAACACAAGATCAATTATCTCCAGAAGCATTTTTTTCAGAGCGTGCCATAGAAATAAATGGTGAAACAGGTGCGATTAACACAAACAATACAAAATACAACAATACAAAATACAATTGCTTTAGTATATTTCGGCTGTGAGTTCCCGAGCTGTATCGTTTGAATGTGAATCGTCGGGAAACCCTTTTTCAAATGTTAATTGTGCGAAATAATTAGTCCGTTCCAAAACTGTAAGAATGTTAAAAGTTTTTACTATGATAACCGATTTTCTGTTTATGATATCGAAAGAATTGCAAACCCAGGAGATTCTTGCAGGTTCTGGAACAGCACTAATGATGGGTACATTTAGAGTTGTCATTCCAAAATGTTTGGTTTTCTACCGTTTTCCATTGAATGATACACATCATTCATGGTGGAATAACACGGGTAACAGCAAGTGTTGTTGTACAACAAACGTAACAAAAACCACATGCAATTTTTTATACTGTTATACTTAAGTGTCAGATTTATAAGTCCAAAAATATAAACAAAACAAATAAATTTTGATAAATTATTTTAATTTCAAAAATAAATAGTCTGTTCCAGTACTGCAAGAATGTAAACGTTTTTACTACGATAACCGATTTTCCCTTTATGATATCGAAAAAAATGCAAAACTAGTAGTTTCTTGCAGGTTGTGGAACAGAGCAGTACATTTTTGGAATTTGTATTACTAAATTGAAAATGGAGAAGAATAGTTCTTAAAATATTCAATATGAATGTTTTCATATTATTCCCCTGAATGTATAGTTGTCAGTTGTTTATACGTATCTCTCAACAAAGTGTATACCTATTGTAATCAAGAATTAAAATTAAAAATAATAGTTCTTAAAATATTTAATTTTAATGCTTCCATATTATTCCCCTGAATGTATAGTTGTTAGTTGTAGGTTCAAATCTCTCAACAAAATGTAAAGGAATAGCATATGAAGAAATAGAATTAAATCATAAAACGTCACTAGTATTACTATAGAGCCAAATCAGCTGGGATTTGCAGCTACATGAAATAATTATACCACCATAGGCCCGCTTTGTAATTTATTGTGCCATGGTAAAAATACTGTTCTGTGCTGATGACATCTTTGCGAACACTTTTTGCTATGGTAGGTCTTGTGCTTATCCAAATACAACTGTGCACGACATATGTTTCGATTTTTCAGTGTGTAAGTTGATTTGGATTTTTCAATATCCAGTGCAAGAGTGAGTTGGAATTCAAGTGTTTTTTAAGAAAAGTAATTTGTGAATTTTATGTTAGGCTTATTCTCAATTTCATTGGCAGTCACTAAGCTTTACATAAAGAAGAAATTATCATTCTTTTAAACTTATTTCATATTTAGGACGGTTTGAGCAATGTATCTGCATTAGGCGTTGTGTAACAAGCCGAAGAGCGAAGAAAAAAAGTTCGAAACATGTGAAAAAGAAAAAAAAAAATAATTTACAAAAGATAAAATAATGAGAACGGAAAATAACCAATTTAAAGTTCAAAAATTCTTTAAAATTTTTTGGTAATATACATTTTGTTCGCTGAATGCAGGCGTTAAAAGCTATGTTACATAACCTCTAATCTATACGCAGTTCTGCTCATACAGTCATAGTAATGAATCAAATCTGCAACGAATTTCCCGATAGTTTTTGATTACAAAATAAATTATTCTTCTTTCACAGACTTTGATCACAAAACTTTACCATGGCTCTACGCGTTCTTAACATGGCACTCCGCCGCCAATTGGCTGCCCAATTGCCCCGCACATCCCAAGTCGGCAGCGTAGCCTCTGTTCACACCTTGGATAAAATTGGCAAACGTGAAATCGTGGGCTACGGCTGGAACGGCACAGCTTGCTATGTTGATCGTGTTGACTATCCCATGCCTCCAGTTCGTTTCCGCGAGCCAACCAACGAAATCAACAACTTGCGTGAAAAGGAGAAGGGAGATTGGAAGAAGTTGAGTGTCGAAGAGAAAAAGGCTTTGTACCGTGCCAGTTTCTGCCAAACATTAGCCGAACTTAAAGCTCCCTCCGGGGAATGGAAATTGCATTTGGGTATGGGTTTGTTGTTTGCCAGTGCCGCTATCTGGGTGGCTATTCTCATGAACCTTTTCGGTAAGAATATAAAGTAACATATATGCTCTTGGTAATTGGCAATAATAGACTTTATTTTTAGTTTATGATGAATTACCTGCTTCTTTCGATGAGGAACACCAAAAGGCCCAATTGAAGCGTATGCTCGATTTGGAAATCAATCCCGTTGCTGGCCTCTCATCCAAATGGGACTACGAAAACAAGAGGTGGAAGAACTAAATTTACCACTTCGAGTGGAGAAAATAGTTTTTCCTTTCGTATATCTAAGTCGATAACTTTAATGTTTAGCCCATTTTTATTGTGACTTGAAATGTAAAAAGTTGAATTCCCTTGATGAAATTATTAAATGTACAAGTCAAGCTTTAAAAAAATACCGAAAAATGAACGGGAAGAGCGAAGTATGTATCGCAATAATAATGTGGTAAAAAAATTAAGAATGTCTAATGTGTTTAACTTAACCTTATGACATGGTAGTTTTTGCAGAAGGTTTGCTGCTGTCAGAAAGTATTGCAGTTGTTGTTGGAAGGCAGCCTTGCTGCTGTCTGACTTTCCAAATGCAATCATTCGGTTTGTAGCAGCTCTACTCTTAATACACATTAGGCTTAAGGAACAGTCTTTGTTCGAGTATGTGATTAAATAGTGAGTGGCCATTTCATCCAGGAACCGTAATAGTTGTGCGAAAAATTGTGATGTAGGCTCAATATTTCCAGTACTCGAATCATATTTTTTTGTAAAATTGTAATTTTATATAAGGTCCTTACCTGGAATCCGACGTACTACTCACCATTCGCACATGTTCTGTATCCACTTTTAGGCGAGTTTACTAGGGACAATCTTGATCGTTCTCTTTAAAACTTTTACAGTTATACAAAGCAATTATTTTCCGCAAAATTGTTTTATACCCTCCACCATTCCATGGCGTTGTCATTCCGTTTGTAACTCCTCCAAATATTTATAATAGACCCTATGGATCAGCGTAAAATTCTTAAACGATCTAGCGATGTCCGTCTGTCTGTTGTAATCACGCTATCTTTCGAACGAATTGAGATAGAAGGCTAAAATTTTGCATACATACATTTACGGGAATTATTTCAAATTTCATATATAAAGTTCGTAATGGGTACTTCAGCCTATGACAAACAATTTTGTATGCAGGTTCACGTCTTCGTATAACCGCCATAAGACGGTACCTCCCAATACTCGTTATTTTTATGATTTTACTGAAATTATTCACGGGAATTGTTTCAAATTTGGTACTTGAAGTTTCTAATGGGTACTACACCCTATGACAAACAATTTTGTAAACAGGTCCACGTCTACGTATAGTCTCCATATAACAGTTTTCATATAAATGGTAGTCTCCGGAAGTTTGGCATGGCCGAACTTAGCTGCTTTTTACTTGTTCAGCAAAAAAAAGTAATTGCCAAACAATTTTAAAAATTAAATGAATTGGTTTTCGAAGGCGAGTGTACAAAATGAGTACGCAAAACTAATCCTCGATTAAAAATTGAAGGATTGTACTTTTCAGAGGAATGATAATAATTTGAATATAATGGCCAAGGGGTATTTTCTAGGCAACAGGGTAAGGCCAGCCATGCCAAAAATAATTTTATTATTACTAATATGCAGTAATTTTTGTTATATGGAATGTTTTTAATGTTTTTATGTCTTTGGGCATCAAGTGAAGATTAAAGTTGAATTCATCTAATGTGGTTAATCAATTTGGCAGCAAATCCGACAGATTCGTTTAAAGGCGCCCTACCTTGTTTTGATGTTTGGAATTTTTGAATTTTTAATTCTTCTAGTTAAAAATTGATTGAAAAGCCAACGAATGTCCTTTCCAATCAAATAATTTAACGAAATGGATCTATTTCATTTTATGTTGAATTGCGAGCATTGATTTCCGTTTGTAATTAAATTAAATCTAACCGGATATGCAAAACATAAAGGTAAGCCGTGTTTACATTTATCTTTAATTCAAATTTCATTGATAGCCCATACAGTGTTAACACTCAGTGTTACTTAGTTTTAAAGAAGAAGCATGACAGTCATGTTTTTTCGTCGTTGGTGGGAAATTGCAACTTGAAAGCTTGAAATGAAATCTTTGCCAATTAATAGTGAAATAAAATAAGCATTTTAATATATTGTGTAATAATGATGGAAAAAGTGTTCACTTAAGTATATATCGGTTAAAAAAAAACTATATTGAATCCGATTCTAATGTGAGAAGGCAAAGTTAAGTGAAGTGATTTTTGTTGTGCGTCCCGTGTCCAAAGCTAGTGCGTGTGTGTTTCTTAAAATTAATGTTATTGCAATCAATAGTGAAATGTTTTATGCGAAAACGAATTTTCATTGATCCCGTTCACGTTCAAGCAGGAGCACTGACTTTGGACAACTTCCAGAAAAGATTACTTTCGTTTCCTCAATAATAATAGAACGGAGTAGGAGAAGACCGAACCAATAAGCAGGCTAAAGAGTTGGGTGCAGTCTTCATGCACCTACGTTCGAGCAGAACTAATGTAACAATTTTACAAAAGTCGTCAAATGTAAGTATGCATCCCCACGTGTGTTGGTATAAAGAACATTGCCAATATAACATTTAACCAAATGAATATAAGGCAACCAACTACTACCACATAGTTGTTACTTTCCTAAATTTCTATCTCGGAACAAATATTCTGTTTCCCAATTTGTCTATTTGAATATGTTTCAAGGTAAGGTAATACCCATAAATTTTATTTGTACAGGACAATACTATGTGTTCTCGTCGAGCTGAGTCGATCTAGCTCCGTGTGTCCATGTCAGTTTTTAAATGCGCTACAGTTTGCTATTTTTGTCCAAACCTTACGAAATGATGCATGGTGTTAGGGTTGGGGTCCGAGGTATGGAGTTATGGTTAGGGTCAGGGTCAGAATAAAAGCCTATTGTTGGAGGAGATTATCTTAAAATATTAAGGTCTGAAATCGCTACTTGCTACCGATTTCATTGAATTATATAGTCTTTTATCGGAGATATGGGAAAATATATACATACATAGAAGTTTTCAAATGTTGTTTGAAATTCTTATAAGAACGACTGAAAGGTTCGAAAATATGCTCATGTTATAATGGGAACTTATCACATTATTTGTAACCCCGTAAGAACCAAACCAGATATTAAGAGTGGTCTTTTAAGTTGTCCAATTATGTACTTCATATAGTTTGAGGAATTCCTCCTTTTCAATGATAACTACGACCGATTAATTACATTATTCTAATATACCACTAAATCCCCTGGCAAAATGATTACAAGCAAATGCTATGACATTTGGCTTGCGTATACCAAACGAAGCAAGTATGTTAATAAAAATGAATTATTACTAAAAGTGCGAGAAGGGATCAATTAAAAGATTCCTCTTGCCACAAATTAACAGATAAATGGTGATCCATCTTTTTCCCACACTTTGAATGCGAAATGCGACTGAGTTACTATACTCGCTTATAGGCTTCAAGGCACCATCAGTCCAATACTGTAGCCATTAATGTATCTACATCATCCATATACCTACATACATAAATGCACATGCATACATAAAGCGATCGTTTGTGTGATCATATTAACTTCACTTTATTGGTATTTATCAAATTATTGAAATAGGTAGAATTTTCTTTGTTCACAATAAACATTTGCATATGGACGTATCGTATTTCATTTCGTCCTCGAAGAAGTCGAAGAATTTGCCAAACTTTTGGGTTTTCTCCAAGAAGTCTTTTTCCTCGATAAAACTGTCGAACCACTTGATTAGGTGTGACTCCTTCTCCTCTTCCGCCTTGCTGAGACTACTCTCATAGTTGAGGAATTCCTTGGCAAATCGATCGTAGAACTCCAAGGTGTGGTGTTCGTAAACATCAAGTGGGTCCAGAGTGTGTCGCTGAAGCACCTTTTGAAATTTCGAGTCATCGGTTGCAAAGAGGAGCTCCCTTGTTTTGGATATTGTTTCCACAAGGTGCTCAGCCTTGGCACAATTCTGATCGTCCCGGGAGTATACCTTAAAAGCTTCCAAAAATTCCTCAATAGAATCCTTGTACACATCGTACACGGGCGAATATTCCCCACTCTCGTCGTCGATTAGGCCTTCGAGATCACGTAATACGTTCAGATGCCAAGGCTCCTGCAACATCATAAATATTCGGATGCACTGCTTGTGTTTGGGCAAAACATATTGCAACAGCTTGTGTCGTCTGGATGGTTCCCGGGCAGCTGAAGAGATCTGAAATCGATACTCGATTTATATCAATTTTGATATTTGGTGGAACCTACCTCCATCATCAGAGCAATGGCGAATATAATTTTGAAAATATCCATCGTTGTGTGGTAGTCGCAGTCTTTTGTTGTTGATATTATATATTTTCACTTTTGTCTATACTTTCGCGTTTAGTGTATACCTTCGTACTGTTTTAATGATTATGAGACGTTCTCCTGCCTTTCTTTGTCGTAGCCGTGCGTCGTGCTACTGCTCGGGCTGCGAGCGTAGAGAGATTTCTCGCTGGTTTTCATATGTTGTGGCTGTCAGTGTGGCTGAGTAGTTCATGCTGCTTTGGTTCGACTTGGGCTGGGGATTTTTTGTTCGATTTGTGAAAAAGCGCGTCTTCTTCGGTGTTGAGAGAATGATGTTGTATCTTATCATTGGAAAAGATCATTGAGCCAGAGCCATGAATGCTTTGTTTATTGGCTTTGTATTGCATCTGAATGGATGCTTTCATAGTCAACCATCCATCCCATCCATTTGTACTTAAGTGATTGTCAGTTGATGCCAGGAGGGTGGGGGAACTTACTAGGCGGTTGGTACGTAGTAGTATGATTTATTCTGCGAATGAAGAGGAGGTACGTGTAATGATGACAGAAGTTTTTTTTGATACTGATCTGATATATCATATATGACAGCTTTAACGGTTTGCTTTATTAGAAAAAAAATCCGAAAACATTAAAAGTAATTTTACATTAATAAAAACTCGAAACACAAATCCAAATTTTGCAAAAAGGCAATCCACACACAATGACGTCCTCTCTCAACCGATTGATCACGACAAACAAAACCCATGAGCGAATTTAAATTTATGGCCAATGAGAATATGAAATATTGATAGGGTTTCGTCCGATGTGTGGATTAATTCAGACGTAGGCATCTGATAACCTTTTAGCTTTGAGTTTTGCACAATGAAATAAACACGGGAAAGTCTAAACAAAACTGTTCGAACAGTTATGAGAATTAATCAGTAAGCGTTCGGGAATCACTTGGAAAAAATGGTGGTAAAAACGTTTTCGTTTATTTTCTTTACACTTGCTTTAGTTGGGGTAAGTTTTAAGTGGTGTTTGCGTCTTGATGATGTTTGCGAAATATATACCTATTTTCAATTGCAGTTAGGCCAGTCGAAGTCGTTTGAGTGGGACTACAGTGGTTTGAACTCCAATGAAGTTCTTTCTTCGAACATAGCCAATGAGATCGGCAACGCTAATCAAAGTGAAAGTGCTGAACAATTGACACCCAAGGACCAACTTTTGTATTTCACATTGATTGCTTTCCGTGACATCTCGCAGAGCTATGTGGATCGAGCAGCCAACATTAGTCACAGCATACTCAACGATGATGATCTTAAGCCCAATGACAGCCCGTTAATTAAGGAATTCCTTAAAAATATCACCGAGTTCATGGAACGGTATGAGAAATACGAAGAAATAGATGAACTTTTCAATTTGGTGGATTTGTATTCGAACACTACTTCGCATTATTTTGAATTGGATGCGGCCTTAGCTAGTCCGGATGTGTTGAATATTGAAAGGAAACTAAAGAAATATGGTTCCGATGATTTGGACAGAGAATTTGAGAAAGAATTTCTCCGGTTTGTTGATCGGTTCTACGAACAAATGGACGAGTACAAGGGGAAGCTTAGTGAGGAAGAATTAAAGAAGGAAATGGCCATGTTGCAATGGTTAGAAGAATTCAAACCCATAGAAAATACTGAAGAAAAAATTATATCATTTGAGAAATTCTTTCGATTTTATGAAGATTAAAACTGCTGTCAAATACATTTTTCAAATAATGAAATATTCTTTCTAAGAACAATTAGCAGACGATATGACAATTAGAACGATATTTTTCATAAAAAATAACAATTTGCTCATTGGCCCCTTGCATGAAAATTATAGTGGCTGTTTTATTATTATCATTTACAAGTTCTGAGTTTCATGCCGATGCATTTTACAACTAAGCTGTTTGGATTGTGAAGCCAAGATGCTTGTTTTTAACTCTGGCAACATTATCTTATAGTTGACGAATTCCACTGGATTTTGACTGGTTGTACTGAGATTGCTGGGGTTCTGGTGTGTGTTTCCCTACGAAAAAAACTTACAAATCTCCTCCAATTTATAAGAAAAACGCTAAAAATTAATTTTCGTAAGCCACTTCGCGGAGTGGAATCTGGAACATGAAGTTGAATTAGGAAATCATGCAAACTAAATTGTACCCACACTTCTTAATTAAGATTAATTTAATAGACAAACTTAAGTAAAAAATTAAACATATCTTTTTAATTGATAAGCAAACTATTGAATAATATAATAAAATACAATATATATGTGTATATTTATCAATACATTATGTATTTTTTGTCTATTGTGGGCAATAGTCGTTATCTCTGCTTTATTGCTGCAGATTGTATTCAAGACAATATTATCTGGCAGTTGACTGTTTTGTTAATTTCTTTTTTTTCTAAGGGCGACGTGTTGTCTAGCATATTTCTGTCCATATCGAAGTCATATTGTTCATATCGTTTTTGGACCATGTCTCATACTCCTCTTGGAGTTTTTCATCATCGAAATTTTCCATCCACTTCTCAGCCTGTTGTTGTAGATTCAGTAGACCATTTTCGCTTAAGAGTCTAAGAACTTCCTTAGCTTGAGGTGAGATTTCTTCCTCCTCCTCGGCGTATGGCATCATTACGTCCATAAATGACACCATTAATTCAATACTCTTTTTGGCACACATGCCAGAATTTTCTTTGTATTCATCCAATCGACTTAAGTAGTTCTCTAACTCCCCTCGGTATTCTTCGTAATCTTCAGTGTCAGGCATTGCTTCTATTACGGCATTGATCATAGGACCACTATCATTCACTATATTCTTGGCGAATTGAAAGAGTTCCTGCACGTTTTGTTCGATGTAAGTACTCCGGCGAAAACGTAAATGACAGGCATCGATGGAGTAGACCTTTTGGAAAAAATATATGTGCGTTTATTTGGTTCTCTATAGAATACAGAAATATTAACCTGCACAATCACAGTAATGATGAAAATTGTCAATACCGTCCTCATGGCTCTTCCGCTATTTACCAGCTGATATTACAATTTGTACTGATACAATTCTTCTGTGGCGCTTCGCTTTTGTCTGTAATGTTCTCAAGAGATTCGTATTCATTCCGATCTAATTCAGATGTTCCTTTTATGTACTCTCGCGAGAGGCAGCGTCAATTAAACGTTACCTATTGAGACATTTAAAAAATATTATTCTCTACAGGGACGTAGTAAGGTGGGGTGAGCAGAGGCCAAAGACCTAGATTGCATATGCTTGTTCTTGCCTAAATACAGATGGAAATGACCCTAGCTAGGTTTTGAAACAAAAAATTAATATGACAATAAAGACTGCGAGGTCAAGCTACTGATAACCTGTACCGCAACACCTGTATGGAGGAAAAACTTTGGAACAAAACAAACAGTAGATTGACGATAATCGATAATGTCAGACATGTTCATATTGCAGTCTCCGTTTGCAAAGCAATTATGTACAGATGCATTTAATGCCAATAATATCTAATATCTTGTCGATGTAGAACATCCTACCGAATATCGAAATCATTATTTACATTTTGATTCCATATGGAAACTCCAGAACACGCATTTGTAAACTGTTTCGGGCGGTTTGATATACAATTATTATCTTCCGTAAGGATAATTTTAGAACACAGTGTAAGAGCTGCAAAATTGTAGCATGAGATGCAATAATTCAACTTACCTGTTCTGAAAATTCGAGTTTTACGCTCGATTTGCTACAAAGGCCATTAATAATTAAAATCACAACTACAACGTTGCTGATTAAATTTGCAATTTTATTTCAAGAAAATAGAAATAATTAACATGAATTTTGAATATAAAGCAGATCATAAGTTGCATTTAGTTAATTAGCTAATTAATTTATTTCGTAAATATATTGTAGAAAACGGCTGCACACTTATGCATGTATATGTTAAATGGTATATATTTATGTATTTTATGCTGGAAACATTTATTTTATTATTTCTATGATTTTTTTTTTTGATTTTTTATGTACATATGTAGGAGTATATATTTTGTATAATGTCTTTCTTCTATCCTTAATCTTATATATATTTATGTTTACTTACAATGTTATTATTTCATTTCTTTCTAAACTTGTTTTAGAATTCTTTTAACGCTCTATCTCTGCTGTTTGCTTTGCTTTTATGTACACTTAAATATGTATCTTTTTAAATAGGTTATTTTTTATATATACACATATAATAATCTAACAGCTATTTTGCCGTAAAAGATTAAAAGAGGTGTCAATGCATTCATGTATTACTTTTTTAAAAGGTTTCCGATGCAATGTTAGTGTATCTATATTCTCGATTTTCATAGGCAATCCCTGACAGTTCTCAAGAAATTCGATTTGTAAAGCGAAGGATGGCACAGGTATAGGCAAAATAATATATGATGATGTAAGTAGTGAAACTGGGAGGCCCGCGCTTTTTTAGATGTTAGATTTGCTTTAAAATTATTATATCACTATTTTTATCCCCTCCATCATACATAGTAGGGAGGGTATATTAAGTTCGTCATTCCGTTTGTTACTCATCGAAATAATAATTTTAGACCCAACAAAGTATATATATATTCTTCATCAGCGTAAAATTCTAAGGCGATTTAGCGCTGTCCGTCCGTCCGTCTGTTGTAATCAAGCTACAGTCGAAACCAATTAAGATAGGAAGCTAAAATTTTGCACAAATCTGTCTTTTGTCTGCAGGCAAGTCAAGTTCGAAGATGGCCTATATCGGTCAACGATGTCGTATAGCTTCATATAACGGTACCCTCGATTTTCGGTATTTTTAATGATTTCAGCCACATTTTTCAAAGGAATTTTCTGAAATTCTACACAAGGTGTTCTTTGTGTATACTTTACCGCCTAGAAGAGAATTATTTATATAGGTCACTATATCGTATAGCCCCCATATAACGGTATCCACCGATATTCGGTATATTGATGGTTTTAGACACATTTTTCAATGGAATTCTCCGAAATTCTACAGAAGGAGTTCTTTGTGAGTACTTTACCGCCTGGAAGAGAATTATATATATATAGGTTCACGATATCGTTTAGCCCCCATAACGCTATCCCCGATATTCGGTATTTTGATGATTTTAGCCATATTGTTCAAAGGAATTGTCTGAAATTCTACATAAGCAGTTCTTTACCCCCTGAAATAGAATTGTCTATATAGGTCTACAATATCGTATATCCTCCATATATCGGCAACTTCCGATTTTCGGCAATTTTAAGATTTTAACTGGATTTTTAATGGATTTTATTTATTTATTTATTTTTTTTTTTTGAAAATTTCTCAATTCGTTCTTACTGCTTTTTTACTTGTTCAATAATATAGAAGTGCACGTATATGTAAATACATTTTCAATTATTTCTCCTTACAAATTTCTTCGAGCAATATATATACTAAGGATTACACTGTGCAACAAAATAAAAAGCTTTACAACTTGCTGGCAAATAACTTTTTATTATAAATATAAAATTAGAATGTCAGAATAGGCGGACAATATTGAATATTCCGGATTATTGAAAACTCCATTTTCACTGCCCAGGTGTTTATGCAAAATGTACAAATACATACAAATGTTGCTGTTCTTAAATTTTTAATTTTCAGAACAATTTATGCTTTTCGTCGCTATTCGCTATTTGAAGTTTTTCGTCATTTAAGTCGCATTTGGAGTTGGTATGCCCTTATACAGTATAAAAGTTGCAGGAGATAAGTTGTTACTTCGATTACACTAGTTTGCTTGTTGGTTGGTATTGAAAATGAGACATACCGGTACATGTTTTGGTATAGCCGCTAACTCCCGATATTCGGTACTTTGATGATTTTCGCCACTTTTTTTGCACGGATTTGTCTTAAAATTGGTATATGTAGGTCATAATCGGTTCTAATTTCGCCGGCGGAACATTGCATGTATTGCCACATTTCATAATGGGTCGCTGGCGAAACATTGTATGTATAGGTCCACGTTTTTGTATAGCCCCATGTAACGGTACCTCTCGATATTCCCTTTTTTTGTGATTTTTGCCACGAATATGCCTAAAAATTGGTATTTGTGGGTCAAAATGGGTTCTAGCTCGTATGGCGAAACATTGTATGTATAGGTCAGTTTTTGGTATAGCCCCCATATAACGGTACCTCCCGATATTTAGATAAAAAATGGTATTTGCAGTTCATAATGGGTTCTAGCCCGGAGGCAAAATATTGAATATTTAGTTCCACGTTTTCCTAAAACGCACATATAACTATAACCACCGAAATTCGGTATTTTGATAATCCCAGTCACATTTACCCACATAATTGTTTCCAATTTGGTATTTTAGAAGAATTGATAGATGACAATCCTTGAAGTATAAAATTGCCTATAGAGGTTCCCGTTTTGGTATGACCCCATATAACGGCCTCATTTACTTTATGGTTTTTTTGATAAATTTAATTGCATTATGCAAACGGTCTTACTGGTATATGAAGTTTAAGTAAAACACGCTTGTATTCCGATATTTTATATAAAAATTATAATTTTATATAAAAATTATTAATTTTATATAAAAATGTTTCCTTTACCCTAAGGTGGAGGTAATCTTCATTATATTATGTTAATTGACGATTTGTTTTCATCTTTGATATTAGCAATTAACTATTTGCAGTTCTTGACGTTATTTAATGGCGAAATTGTTAGAATTGTAGTTTTCATCCAAGGCTTATGAGTAGTTCATACAGGTGGCGAAATAATGAAAACATTTATATCTAATCACAATAACGAATTTTAACAGCAAAATTGTTAGTCAAATGGGCCTATTGTGTGACCTGGTTGGTTTCAACTTCGAATTTGAATTCAAAATCAATATTTCGCAATTTATACTTTATTTCTCATCAGGAGAGGTTCTTTTTCTGCAGCAAATATTTTGCACAGTGTAATTTGAAATGTTATAGTTTTGGATCAAAAAGTTATTTTTATTTTTTTTTTTTGTGTCCATTTCCAAAGAAATTGGAATTTCAAAGACTTAAACTTATTTTCTATGTTATCTTTTTGTTTTTATTTTATAATATACAGTCAATCTTGAAAGAGAAATTAAATTCAGGTACATTCTAGCAAGTATTGTTTATAAAAGGTTAACGTTTAGTAGATTATCTGTATTATGCATTTTTGGATCAAAGGAAGGAAATTAATTTTGGAAAGCTCCACTTTTAGCTGCAATTACGAATACCACACATCAAGATGCGGCCTTTGTAAACCATCTCCTACAAAACTATGGCCCCATGCATATGCTACTCTGTAAAAAGACAAACAAGTTGGTTTGTGCCCTGTCGAAACTTAAATTGTGGCCAAATCGTTGCTTTTCAAAATCGCAAAAATCATAGGTCGTCGATATGCCAATTCCTGTAAATACTGAATAGGCATTCTTAAACAGACAATGAGTGATAGCGTCTCCCTAGCTTTCTTTTTGTCACATAAATTACAAATCATTAAGCTGGTCGCAAAAGAGAATTGAACAAAAAAAAACTAGTTGATCTTATTAACAAGGGGTGGAAGTTGCTTTTCGGGCAATTGTTTAGATAAACAACGATGGTCCTTACAAAAGTAAGAAAAACATCTTATGTTAATAGGTACTTGAGTAATTTATAGTCAGTGTGAAACCCATATCAGTAGGCGTATGGTAAATTTGGAGATAGAGTTAGTTCGATTTGTTAACAATTTTTATATATTTTTGTTCTATACTATAAATAGAGAAATATAATAACTATCAGCAAAACATGTACTATTTTAATTTTAACTTTCTTATATAATTTGTTATATATAATTGGTTTTGTATGATTGACATGGTGGTTTAGCGAAGGATGAGGTAATTGAAATAGACAATGACTTTTTTTGTATGGAAACATGAACTTTTTAGTCCAGAATTACAATTGAGTTTCTATCCTACTATTTCTTAAATATTTTTATTATTTTATATTATTTGTGTATGTTTTTATACTTTATGTTTATTAAGGTACCTTTGACAACTCTTCCATTTGTTAAAAGGACAGTTAAACACACATTTCAGTGTATTTCATAACAATTGAATTGTGTGTTTCACGTGCCCCCACAAATATTGTTTAATGTTTTTTTAAATAATAATTTTCTCAAAACAAAAAAAAAAAAAATACATCAACATGTAATGTGTATATTAATACTATAATATTACAAAAATTTACTTATTATATCACTTAATCTTAAAATATTTAATTGAGTCACTCTATATTAACCTTGTTTTTTTTTGTAAAAGCAAAAATGTTTGTTATTTTGAATTAAAGAAACTCCGGAAATAGATTCCGCTGCACATGAAATATTGACCGGTAAGGCAAAAGAAAGATGGTTGGTACCTTTAATTTCTTCTGGGGGGAAAACAATTTGGGTTTAGAATTAAATTATGCAGGCATGATTTATGCTTTTGTATCCAACAAAAGTTATACAATTTTAAGTTCAGCCTGTACGAACCTTTTATACCGTCCACTGGAATAAATATATAGGATAGGGTCGCCCATCCCCTGAATATCAGGGAAGTGCAGTTATAATGGGCAACAGTGTAAAAAGAGGACTAATCTTCATCTAATATTTATCTTGTGTTTTATCACTATAGTTAGTTCACATGTTCAGAGTTCTCTTTCTTAAATCATAAGGTAAACCACTAAAGAAAGGTCAAAAGCCGGCCCGTCCCTACACCACTATGCATATATATATAGTATAGCGACCCGAAACAATTAAACGTTTATATAGGGAATTTAAGTAAAGTAGATTATCTTGATAATTTAAAATCGTCTCTGATAGTTGGTACCAAATATCATTGCTTTGGATTGCATTTTATGGGTGTGAGAGACTTAAATTGAGAATCGGATAATGATATATATGGGACCTTCAGTTATGTCTGTGCCGATTTTCACCAAATTTGCCACACTTTCTTCCAGGCTACATTCGGCCGTATGTGCAAAAACCTATGTAATTTGGGTTGATATTAACCATTGAATCCACAATAAACTTAAAATCTAAATCTGAACCGATCTCGATAGATCTTGACAAATGTATCTCTGAACTGAACTTGATATCCTTTCCCGAATATCGTTGTTATGGTTGTAATATTACGGCTATAAGGGGACAAAAATAACAAATCGGATGAATAGCATACATGGAAGCTAAATTTACATCTGAACGAATGTTCGCCAAACTTGACAAACGTGTGACAGGTGCATAATAAACATAATATCGGGCGACATGGGAGCTATATCTAAATCCGAACCGATGTTCAACAAACATACTGTTTAGCTCAGAGGGGCTCCGCCGATGGGAGTAAAACGCCGAATGCGTCGAGCACTGGACCGTAGGGGGGAAATATAAAAAGAAAAAAAAAAACAACAGAGGTTTTTCTTAATATAAAATAGAACTGTTTATTCTCAGTTTGGTTGGTGGCAACGATATTATCTTTGGCAACAATATGCCTCTCTATGTACAACGATATGTGCTGCAAACGATATTGCGGGTGATGTCTGTCCGAATGACAGCGAAATACTACTTGATGTCTAAAGGAGGCGGCAAAACAAGTGACAACTAATTACTCGTTAAAATGTCAAAGGCGCTAGCACAAGGTTGCAATAAACCGTAGCGCGTACATTTTAACGTGGAGTGGTGAACTGCCGAATTTGGTTTTCTCCGATGAGAAAACATTCGTTGTCCAGCAGTTTGTAAACAAACAAAATGATCAAAGAGGTCAGCTGAAAATGTGCACCTTCGGTTGGTCACCAGAACTCAAGCGCCGGCCATGGTGATGGTGTGGGCCGCCATAACAGCCTATGGTCGCTCTCTGCTCGTATTAATCGACCGTGGAAATATTCTGGAGGGTGTAGTAAAGCATTGGGCACCCAAACGCTTTGGCCGCAGACCTTGGACATTCCCACAGGACTCAGCACCATAGCACTCAGGACCCGCCACCCAAGAATGGTTACAAAATGAGGTTCCTCGCTTCAAATCCAGCGCACGCATGGCCACCAAAATCTCCGGATACCAATCCGTTGGACTATTGTGTCTGGAGTATTTTGGAAAGCAAGGTTGGCACTAAAAAATGCCAAAGTGTCCATCGCCTCAAGCAAGCGCTTCGCCGGGAGTGGGCCAAAATACCGCAGAGCAACATTCGGGCTGCGTGTGATGGTTCTATTGGTCGTTTGAAGGCAATAATTCGTGCCAAATGTGACCAATTCGAACAAATCTAAACTTATTCTAGAATTTGATGCTATTTCCGACATTTTTTGGTTTCATTCAAATTATGGCATTTGACTTTGTTGCAGTTTTTTTATATCACCGTGTACAATCGTTGTCTGACTTAGTCGTCAGCGAAATTGGAATCAACATAGATGTCAGCAGTTCTTTATCTTTATGTATATCCGGAAAGTGACATTCAACATTAAAACTATTCGTGAGATATAACAAATTTTTGAATTTTCCAGATCCGATATCCGATCAAAATTCCAAATAAAAGACTTCTTCCCTATTCTAAACTGCAACATCTTACAAAATTTCGTTTCGACCGGTCCATGGATGTAACTTTTAAAGCGACAGCAAATAATTGAGTTTGATTACAAATTATAATGGGCAGAAGGATGAAATGACGCACATAGTTCGTCAAGATCTGATAACCGGTATATTACATGGGCCGGTTGTTGCTAACATTATATGGATTCCTTCAATGTATTTGTTTACATACAACCATTGAAGGAAATCCTTTGTGTCCAGAAGAGTTATGTCGGCACCACTCTTGCCTTTTCATACGTGCTCATAAATTTTATAAATTGTTTCACACATTTGAGCATGATAAAAAAGTAAATTATTTAAATGGTTTTTGAGTTGGAGTAAAAAATCTGCTTCTGTTGTAATCTGCCGATATGTATATTTTTTTATGTTATATATGTTTTCATATTAATAATAAGGGTAGCGTTTGCGGAAATGCGAAGAGAGAAATTATTTTTTTTTAATATGAACTTTTTCTTCTTCTGGAGATAACCTTATATAAGTCTGTAGATCGCCTTATTGGCATATTGTTTAAATTGAAGTAAGTTAGTCACATTTTAATGTTTTTTTTTTCTCTTTTAAATGACAATCAGTATTAAGTGTAGCTATTTAAGGCAATAGAGAATTGAATGACAATTTACCAATTCCTAAAATTTTTCATTCATAATTGTATTGAAATAATTGATTGAAGCTAATGAAAAAAGTGTATTTAAATCAAAACTCTATTCGAAATGAAACCTAATTTAATGAAGGAAGTTCCAGAGTTCAATGTTTATGTCCCGATAATAGATCTCAAGCCAAGCAGTGGAAAAATAAAAAAAGGAAAATCAAACAAAATAAAACACACGGAAACAAAATTAAAGTATCTAAATAAGCATTTCGTTTTGTTTATTATCAGTTAGTGAAAAATAACATTAATTGTATTATTACTTTTGTCATATGTACAACTTAAAATGTATGTAAAAATAATATATTTTTAACCATCGACTGAAGCGACGTTTTGTTAAACAAAATGTACTGAAATTAACAGGAGAAAGAAACATTTCATCTCTCACTTTTTATCACAATTACGAATGAAAAATTTCTTTAATTGCTAGAAGCTGCTGCGGCTGCCGCCTCCCGACCCAGAGCCGGCCGAACCGTTACCGCTGTTGTGCAGCGCTGATTGTGGCACTAGAATTCGCGGCGAGGTTAGGGAACGTTTAGGGCCCACATGCTTCGTCATCGACACCACGGCTAATGCCAGCGACACTTCGGAAGTGGGCTTTCGATCCACGCTGATCAAGGGGAAATCATTTGCTTTGGAAGGAGTGTTGGTGGTGGAGGAGGGTGTTGTTGCGGAGGCATCCTTGTCGCTGTTGGGCAATTGTCACGCATATGACTGGGCCGTTTGTGGTATTATGTTGGGCGTGTACACCGAATTGCTAAGTACCGGATCAACCTTTTCAACGAGATTTTTTAGACGGCCTCTCAACTCCTCCAGACTTTTTGATTTTGCCTTGTTGATACGCTTGTACTTGACATCCTTCGGCTTGGTCACCGAACGGTGATTTGACATGACGCGGTTATAGTTCGTCATTGGATTCTGTGATTTGGGCTGGTCGTTGTTGAGCTCATCATCATCTTTGCTCATTGAGCGCTGCTGGTCTTCCATCGATTTTGCATTTCTTTGTAGCTGGGGCACCCGCATGCTCAGAGCGGTGGTGAAGCTTTCTTCGTTTTGGGAGGAGAGTGGCTGATCTTTGTCTTTGGTTGTGTCTTCGGGCCCGGTAATGGTAACGGTAGTCAGGGGAATTGTGGAACCATTGTTGTTGCAAGTTGTGGTGGAGTTGTTGCTTGGGGGCGTGACAATATCCATGGTGTCCAATTGACCCTCTGTTGAACTAGAACTCAAAGCCTTTTCGGATCTTTGTTTGAATTTGTCTCGTTTCTCGGCGACATCGGACGTGGGTTCCGGGTCTTCCTCAACGGAATAAACAGTCTCTAGGATTTCCGGTCGGCGTAAAAAGCAATTGTTACGTCTTACCACACCGTACTTATTCAGGCTCGTCTCAATGGCATCTGATATGGAGCGGGCTATTGTTATGCCATCACCCCCCGTGCTCGGAGCAGTACACGGCCCTCCACCACAGCCAGCCCCTGAACCTTTTCTGCGAATGCCGCCTATCAGTGTGACATTCGAGTCGGAGTCCATATCTTCGAGGACCACTGCAGAATCGGAATCATTCAGCGAATCCAATTCGGTGGCGTAGCTTGCATCGATCGTTTCGAGTCCATGATCGACCAAACGCGAAGAGAGTGTATCTATAATTTTCTGTTGCCTTTGTATCGTCATCTCTCGATGCTGTAAAAGACTTGAAATTTGCTTCTGTTTGCGTTTCAAGCGCGATTCCAGAAGCAGCAACTGTGAGGTTAAAGCATTCATTTGATCGCTCTTCTCTTTTTGATAGCGGTATTGTTGTTGTACCTGAAACGTGACATTAGAGAATGAGGTAGATGTTCGAGAAAATGAGAAAGGGGGACTATTACCTGCAGGGCGTAAGCCTTTCTCCATTTCATAATGTGTTCCGCTTGAAACCGGACCTTTGATCTCAGTTCCTCTATCATGGCCCTCGCCGTGTGCAAATCCTTCGGGTCCTGATTCATCATATTCAAACGCACATTATTCGTGTGCGTTGATACTGGAATCGGTGGGGGCCACTGAAATTCTAGAGGCGGCTGTGCGACCATATCCGTCGGTAGCGATCCCCGTGGTCCACCCTGATTTTTGGGCTTCGGAGTTGTGGGACCGGCCGAGGATGACGATCCCTTGGCCAGAGGATTGCTTTGGGGTTGTTTTTGTACACTGCACGCCATGGTAATGGTTTTGGCAAATTGTGAGGCACGAGCTGCATACATTTAGGCTCTCAGTAAACCAATGGTGGTCGCCTTGTGAAGTAATTAATGTTGTCTGAGCCAAGCTCTATCCAAGTTTCTGAACAATGTCAACTTTTGTGTTAGCATTGATAGCTGCCGTTTGTTCGATGGTTTTGTCGAAAGTCTAAAAACAAAAAGAAAAAAAAAAACAATTAAAATAAAAATTAATAGAAGTTTTAGTTATTCTCTTGTTGTAATTTTCGAGTGCTCATTTAGCATAATGGCAATGTGCAACTATACATGTCACATATATTAGAGAAAAAGTAACATATCCTCGCATTAGCATGTTTAAATAATGTTCATTACTCGTATATTGCATATTGGATTCGCCGTCATCATTTAATTCAGCTAATTTAAGAATTACACCCACATTAGGCCGTTAAGACCACCTAATATACATCTTACTTTAATGTTCTCCCTCCATTCAACGACTGTGTGCAGTGTGTGTTTTCATTAATAATAGATGCGAATTGTCGTGCCCAAATAAATTCTCATTGTCTATTCTAATGTAATGGTGGTCGGTCTCAGTTGGGCACACAAATTGTTGAAGCAACAGATAAATAACAAACAAAATAAGTAGTCCGAAAGGCAGCATGAAAACACCTAACAGCGAGTGATTCGAACCGAAAAAGTTTGTCGAAGCCATTTAGCTGCAAATGTGTATTTGTGCAAAAATATCCTGGTGTATTGTGTTGGCAGCACGGTCTTAGGGACCAGATTCCCTAAAATGATAAGAAACAAAGCAGCGGGGGTCACTGCGATTAGCTTGAACTTTGTGTTGTGAACTTTGACATGCTACTTAGGAATGTCACAAACTATTATTTTGCCATTTCGTATTGGTGGTGATAACTAGAGCTACGGTTTTCAGCAGAAATTCTTAATTTCTCTGATTGAGTAGTGGTGTCATTGCTGCTGAGAGTATAGTATGACAGATGGCGTTTTTCTACGGGAAAAATGTTGAATTCAAGTAATTTGTGTGTCAGCTTATGATAAATTTGCGACGTGTACTTATGTTAGAAGCATACCCAAATGCAGGTAGACATACTCACTTTTTAACAAATCTGCTTCATGTCATGATGTTCTTTAATGTGTTTTTAGTTTTTTTAGCCGATAATTGCATTATCAAATTCACCAACTATAAAAGAACCTAAATTCAGCCGGGTCGAACTTTTAATACCGTCCACCAATTGGAAGGAACTTTAAAATTAAAAAAATGTTTCGAAAAATACCGGCTACATGAAAATCGTTATATGGAGGATATATGGAGACAAGGACCTACACATGAATCTTTTTGTCATTGACTGTAGTACTGATTCCGAACTCAAAATTCGAATTTTGAAAAAATTCCGGTGTATAATGTCACCTTTATAATCAAAATATCGAATAAATGTAGGTACCGTTATATGTGGGTTATACGAAGGCTTGGACCTGCATAGACAATTTTCTGTCATTGGTTGTAGTATCCATTACGAACTTCAAATACGAAATTTGAAAACGTTGGCGAAATCATGAAATACAGAATCTTGGGAGGTACCGTTAACACATGTGCCTGCATAAGTATTTTTTTTAGGTTCTAGTACACATTTAGATCTTCAAATACGAAATTTGAAACAATTCCGGTGAATAAATCATAAAAATACAGAATCTTGGGAGGTACCGTTATATGGGGCCTATACAAAGACATGTGCCCGAAAAAAAGTGAATAATGTCTCTTAAATCATGAAAATAATGAATATTGGCAGGGGCTATAAGTTGTTAGGGGGTATCCATACTATATCCTCCATAGTATGGTAGAGGGTATAAAACCAGTGATAAATAGGACGAATGTAGGGTACGAGATTATGTTAACCCATACCACAAATATGTATCCTGTGACAAAAGTGTGTGTATTTTGGAGCTTGTTCTACATAAGACTTTATCCTTATCTGAAAACAATTACTATTAAATTTTACAGTGGCATTTCTGGACTTACATGATGTCTGTACTGCTTATCACTTATATCGGGTGAATATTACGAGTTTGAAGCGATTTAAATATTTAATCGACCAAAACATACACATAGACATATGTTAACTGATTTCAAGCAAATTTGCAGAAATATTTTTAGACTGTATGTGAATCCTCCTAAAAATGTGTATAGGATCGATTGGAACAAAATTGGAAGTCTTTTTTCTAGCCTTTATTTGAAAGAAGAATCCAATGTTCATCCTAATTGAATGAATGTAGAGTGGTATTTGGACAGTTTGCATTGCCAGGCGACAAGTTAACATAGTGATATGTGTGTGGGCACGTGCCTATCTAAGGGGAATGCAAACATTTCATAAAAATCTCAAAGGATATTAACACGATTAAAGTTGTGCTGCTGATATCGAATTAAAAGACCACGAATGTTAAGCTGCGTACGTGTAAGAGTTTGTTTATTTGTGTGGGAATGTTGTTCCATTTCTACTGTCAACATGCGTGTATTTATGTCCACACTCGAATAGATCTCTTTGAAGAAGCTGAAAAACCTTGCCCAGTGCAATATCAACGTACATATCCACCGACAAAGCCAACAAAGTAATCCTGTGTTAAAGTCATATACATCAGTCAGACAAATGCTAAAATGCCAACAAAGCAAAAAAGAGGTAGCAACAATTCAAAGGATAAACAAAGGAATTTTTAATTAATATTTGTTTTTGTTTCTGGCAAAATAACGATACAATATAAATCCTAAAATAACATTTGTTTTCAAACAGACAACTATGCAGCCATACATACGCATGTATGTATGTATGAACAATGTGTACACAGATTCCATCATACATTACAGCAAACACCCACAGCACAAACACCCACGTACATATTCATTGTAAATCCGTCTGGAAGTAACACGAAGAAGAAAATGGATTTCAGACACACTATTGATCGTTGAGTTTTCGAAATGCACCTTTCTCAATCGTAATATAAAAAAAGTAAAAAAGAAAAAACATTAGGTTCGGCCGGGCCGAACTTTAAATACCTTCCACCAGTAGCTAAAGAAAATATTTTTATTGAAAATTGTCTGCGTTTAAATTACATACATCAGTGGATCGGTTGAAAATGCATTTAAAGAAAATTGTTTTATGAGTCCATACCAAAATGGGAACCAGTACTACTATATGCTTTTTTATTTGTAGCAAATCTTAAATACCCAATTTGAAACAATTCAGTAGGTAAATTTGACCAGGATCATCAAAATACAGATAATCGGTGGCTGCCGTTATATCGAAATGGATAACGTTTTGACACCGGTTGTAGAACAAATTATGAACTACAAATACTAAATTTTACACAAACCCGTCAGAAAATGTTGCTTAAATCATCAAAATACCGAATATCCGAAGGTATCGTTATATGTGCGCTATATGAAAACGTGAACACTTACATATACACTGTTCTATTACCAGTCCATTACGGACTACAAATGCCAATTTTAAGACAAATTCTTGGAAAAATGTGACTAAAATCATCACCACGCTTGGGTGAGAACTCTCGAGGAGTACTTTGCAGCTTTTTACTTCCATCCCCGAATTTAAGCAAATTGAATGATCAGGAACAATTACCAAATATGGTTTCATACGTCTAAAAAGGCTCCTCGCAAAAAATTGTCGATAAAGGTACATCCTTTTTCCTTGACAAATTAATAAACTAAATTTACTACTTCGCTTCGTACTTTCAGAAAATAGTAGTTTGGCATTTTAACTATTTCAAGAATCGTTGAATCTTTAGATTTGGTGTTTTTCTAAATGTTTTTTTAGATTATTCTAACTAGAGTCCGTTTCTTTGCAAAATTTTTTCATCCAAATATGGGTTTACTTGATGACAAATATTGTTTATATAAGCGTTTTTGTAGACAACACAGAATTCAAAGAAAGGGATCAGCAATAAATTTTATTACGCACATCGTCTGAAATTGTTTTACAAACAAGGCAAAGGCGAAATAAATCTAAACAGATTTCACTTTGCATACACAAATGCTCGAGAAAGGCATGAATACCATTAGCATGTTCCGTTTTGTCCTCTCCCATAGCACCAGTTGCTAATTTTCTCACGTTTATCCGACGAAACGTGTGGCGTACACATTCTTCATACGCCACCGTGGACACATTCGAAATAAGCAACACACATTACCTATACGCCACCACGCTGATTCGCTTAAGGTCTGAGTTATTCGAACGCAATATCCCCATTTTCCAACTCTCTCCTTCTCCCTTTGTTGTGCTTCAAAAAAGGGCTACAGAAGGCAGACAGGCGTAGCGTTTACAAACACAACACAACCATCCAATATGTAATCCGAACTTAAATATTCATCAGCAAATATGCGTTTGGCATAAATAAACAAAATTCGGCTCATAAAACTGCAAACAACCGAAGGAGCACGCACAATGTAACTCATACGAATTACCTTCTTTGGCATGGCCTGTCGTAGCTGGCTGGAGTTTGCATCCTTTGAAATGGAGGGAATTCCAAGAGGACATTATTTGTTGTTTTTTTTTTTTCATATTTACCAACAATAACGGTTGTTGCTGCTGATGTTATGCGCAAGCAACGTAAATGGATTTTATGCACAAAAAAATACGATAATTGTTGCAGAGAATATTCAATAATACACGCACAAAAGGTGAACGGGGATATGTGGTACCCATACCCATATGAAGAAGAGAAATAAATTCTTAGTCTTTAATAAAAATACATGCATGGGGGAAATTTCAGATTCTGTAGGCAAATTAACATCGATAGAGGACCGATATAATTAAAGAAAAAGAGGGTGAGAAAATCAAACCCACTGGAAATGTTTGCATTATGCCAGGAAATAATCTGATTCGTGTTTCAAAGGCATATTTCTACCTGACATGACCACTGGAAAAGCATTATATTTTGTATTTTGGAGCTACTCAAACAGAGGTTATGGTATCTCCCCAAACATATTATTACTATATGATTTTTGGTAAGTCCATTTCAAGATAAGAAAAAAAACGAAGAGAGATATGAGGGTTTCATCTCTCTTCTTCCTGTTCAAAAGTACTTTTATGGCGGCAGCATTCTGTCTGTGATGACTTTTGTTGTTTTTCGTTTGGAGCCTCTTTGTCTGTCGTAGCCTGA